GCGAAAAACACTACATCGGCCAAAGTGGACGTCCCCTTCGTCTTCGTATCCACGAACATAAGCTAGCCGTCAAAAGACATGATATCCACTCCCTCATTTCACTACACACAGACAACTACGGACATCAATTCGACTGGGACAACGTTCAAATATTAGACAAAGGAAATAACAAGAATGCTAGAGAATTTTTAGAAGCTTGGCATTCCAGTGAATCATCAATCAATAGACACATCGAGATAGACAAAATTTATCAACCAATAAGAAAGAAACTTCACACACGATTGGCCAAAGTTCAAGTCACAGAAACAATCAGTTCCAACACAAGTAACCTAGAAGGTGTGAAAACATACATAAACAACCAATCACGTCCAAGGTCACCAGGAGGAATGATTAATAAACTCGTGGAGAAACCTAAAAGCTCACTTCAATTTGAAGTATGCGCTGAAGATGTCACCCAGTAAGGTGATGAAAGCTTCGCAAACTAACTATCCAGCTCAGAGAACAAAACCACATCAAAAAAAAAACATTTCCTGAACTAATTACACTAAGATTTCCTTTCCACAAGGTTCAGTGAAGTCACGTAAAACATAGAAGATACTTGGGTTCCTGAAGAGGGAATTACTATTGTGCTAGAAATTACATATGACCAAGCATAGTGGAATAGAATGATAGTCCGGAGTTATACTCGAATGACATCCTGTCACCTTTAGCTTACTAGTTTAAGTAAAGGTTACATCAAGTTGGATATTTTATGGGATTATTATTCTGGATAAAACAGATGAGAATTTAAAAAGGAAGAATAATGTTTACCTTTAGGATCATTAGTCAGATTGTATTTTAGATTCAGTAACATTTACACGTCACAATGACACTGAAATCCTTCCTTTCTAATCCCTTGCATTCCGAGTGAAACATAGAAAGTTAAGCCTTGAAGCTTCAACAGCTGCGTGTTTTTTTAATGTGGTGGTGTTACCAGCCTAAATCACAACTCTCCCTCTTGACAATGACATAGATCGTATCGCCTAATAAGTTGTGGAGTACCATATCATGTCAAGCGTCAATTTTTGATTGTATTGTTCAACGGAATCTGATAAATTGGTGAATTCTGCTTAAAGATCTCAGGCTAGTGTATGATGTTTACCCATCGATTTTCCCCATTTTGAAATTATTTTCGTTTACAATACAAACTGCAAACTTTCTGCTGTCATTACACTGTAAAAAAAAACTTCAGGAAGCTATGAATTTATTCATGGAATTTTAGTAAATCAGTAAAATTATCACTGTCCGTCTAGAAGTTTTCACTTCAAAACAATACTGTTTATCTAGATATGTTTAATCTCTTGTAAAGCACAAGTTTATGTCGTTTATTGGTAGGAAAAAAAGAGTGATGAGAGTAAGGCAGCCGTCTACATTCACTGACGCCATGTCACAAAAAATTAGGTTTTTATTTTGTTTGTTTATTTTTTCAATTTTATAATCATACATCATAAACTAGTGTGAAGTTTTGGTATTCTGTATGTTCTATCAAAAGTCACTGAACATATGAATCGTGCATAGAATAACTAACTAGTTGTCAATTGATGACACTTGACTGTTTGTCGCATCTCTGGTAGGTTAAAAAGCCTAAACTCCAGTGAGTGTCAGCTATATCTACTAATATAGTGTCATTTATCTGTTTAAATGCTCAAATAGGATGTTAGTTAAAAGGTTTATTATTGTGAAATTGATTCCAACAGTTCGGTGTTTACAATTCAGCGTATTGAGAAGAAAATATTGTATGCGTGCAAGTAACTGGTATTATGAATAATGCATAAGATTAAAGAAGCATCTGGTATGTTTAATCTGTATGGAGCACAGTGAGTTATGCAAACACCCAGCCGTCCTGAAAATCGAATATGCAATCGGCCTTAGTTTTGTAATCCTTTTTTGTAATTTGACTCCCAAAGAGAATTTGTAGGCATATTTCAAACAGTGAGTAATGCTAATAAAACTTCTAATTTGTGAAATGGTTTACTCTAGTTAAGGTATTTACTGTGAGTAAATGATCGTAGAGGACTGCAGTAAGTGCATTGTGGCATATACTATTGATTAATTTTATACCACAGACATCAACCATTAGTACCTGATAGCCACATCGAAGTGATTTAACCGCCAGATGAATGTTTCGCCAGTATGTAGATGAGGAATTTAGCCGGTGTAACTCAGATCTGAATAATATGGTTTCCAAAAGAAACTACTAGGAATTTCCACTTCAAAATGTGTAATTTGCAAATTCGATTTCAGTAATAGTCATTTCACATGTCTCAGCATGACTATTTTTATCAGGTATTTTGGTGTACAGGATCTCATCATTAGCTAATATCTGTCGGAGAACCATTGCCAAAGGTGGGAGTACTGGACAGCTGTTTCGTCCTAGTTCGGGACTCTTCAGTAGCACATATTCACAGGGGCTGGAACCCACGGCCTCCAGGTCACAAGGCAAGGTCGTGGACTATTAATCCAATGAGACCCAATCCAATGGTCCGCGCATCAATTCCAACTTCTGCCTATTAAAAGTCTTGTCATGCTTCGTATACAAAAGAGTCCAGTGGAGCGCTTTCTAATGAATCAACATCGCCTAAGTATAAGTGTGAACTAACTATTTCATTTAACGGTGAGATGCAAGAACATACAGTCTAGCAACGAGGACATTACTAGTCAGCAATTAATTTGAAATCCAGTTGCCTATATCCTAGGCTCTATTAGCTCGCAGTGTCAAGCGAAAATCATTTAATATTATCTGAAGATCTGTTTGTTTTTTGGAAAATGTGCTTTAAACTCAAATAAGTAATTGGGACACTTCAATTAGATTTCATTACTAATCAGCAATTATTGATTTTCAATGGTTCTGTGACTAATATCTGTTCTGCAATTGATAGTGTTCTCTGAGCTGGTTGGTTTAGTTGCGGAGCTTTCGTCGTCCTTCTGGACAACTTATTCAGCGCAGTATTTAGCATAAAATGAAGTGATTTAAATTTCTTCATGAATGGCGGCGAAAGCTCCACAACTAAACCAACCAACTCAGAGAACACTATTAATTGCAAATCATCCACCTGAGCTACAAATCTCCTCTATCACTTTTAATATCTGTTCTTTCATACATTTGTTTCCCTTAACTGGCTTAGAAAAAAAGAAAGTTTGAGCATTTTCGCCGGTTAATATGAGCTCGTTTTATTTGGTGGATTCTTTTCAGCTGCATACCTCTTCAACAGTATCAAAATATAAGTTAGAACATTTCTGAAAAGTAAACCATTCTCACAATAAGGTCGCGTTGTGGATAGACACTATAAACAACATAATTCCAAGGTGATTTTGACAGACACATATTCCAGTGGTAAAAGGCCAACTATTTGTAGTTTAATTAGACAAGGAGAGAGGGGGGGGGAAATTAGAATCTGAATTCCTCCCTCCTTGTCTAATTAGGAATCTACAAGTTATACGCCATCTACTACCTTGATGCCTGGAGGCCATTTGTATCAGTTAATAGATTTTAACCACTGGTAAGCGAAAGCATTAACTTTAAATTATGCCATGATTCTAAGGATATAAGAGCCTCGGAAAAGCCTACGCTTACCTTCTTGTATGAGAAATACTGAAAACAGCTAATGTAATTCTTTATTTAAAACTTTGAAAAAAAATATTATAAAATATCATTCAAATCACTTACATTTCTGCTTTTTTGCATTTCAGTGAGTATCTACTTAAATGACGATATATCGTTTCCAATGAATAGTCAAAGCTTATGGTTATAAAACTATGTACATTAAGTGTTCAATACCCAGAAAGTGTTATCAGATGAAAAACAGTCAGTCAGATTCACATGGCATGCTTCATTCACACATTTTTATTATGATAAGAAAACTTCGATTTCAAATATGCTTTATTCTGTTGGCCTGTTTTTGTTTATTGGTATTGTTGTCGCATGAAAAGCATCTATTATTTTCATGTATATGTCATTGGAATTTATTTCATCTCTCCTCCTCCTTATGCTCAACACTAAAGATCGAGGAACAGAGAACAAGAGACTCAGTATTTGTTACGCCTGCTCAAGGAAATCAACAAAAAGTAAACAAGTATTTTAAATTCACATTCGTTTGGTGTAATTTTCTGTTGCTGTTGATCTGTGTGCATATTTTCAAGCGTTATTTTTCAAGGGTTTGACTAATTTAAAGTTATGCCTTATCAAGAATATGCATCATCTGGAGAAACGCTGAAATCCAGGGTGTTCTGGAAAGTTGTTTTTTAGTCCTAGTTTGAGTGAGATGTTCTATCACTACGCACCCATAACCCACTTGGTATTGAACCCAGGGATCTAATGATCCTGAAACAATGTATATAACAAGTTTACAGAAGTTGGAATTCATGAACTTTCAGTGGAGTCGGACTGATATACACAAAATCATTTGTTGTGTAAATTACTGAATGTGAAAATGTGACTCAGCGGAGATGTGGCTCACTGACTATTAAGTACTGGGCTTTAAACTAATGAGTCCGGGGTTCAAATCCCATTCTAACTACCTCAGTCTGGGCAAATGGATAGTACGATCAGCTCTCACAAAACCTACGTAGTCCAGTTAACTAAGTCCTATTTAACTAAAAACCGATCGAAAAAATGGCAAAGTGTGTGTGATGTCTGGGTTGCTAGACAGTTTAACTGCTTACACTAACAATTTTCAGAGTTTTACGTAGTCTAGAAATTTAATAATTGTGAAGCTCTTTATGGATATTTAGCTGAAATTGTTTGGGGCCATTAAACAAAAACGAGAAAGTAGATTGGTGCGGTATGCAGGATTTGGGTCCAGTCACACCATACTCCACAAAATGATAAGGAAAGCTCTCATATGACAAGCACTTTCCATTACAAAAATACATGCTGTCTCTATAACTTTTGCAATTATCATGTCTAGTAGCTTAAACATTTTTATTTTTACTGATTCGTTCAGTTGACAAGGCAATTTTACCACATACAAAAACCACATCTGAGTTACCATATATGATCTAAGATATATTGAACTATGGTTCACCGCTAGTTTGATAAAGCCGTCAACGAAACGTCTGTAAAACCAATACTGTTTTGTTTATCATTCACTGTGAAATATAAAATGCTTTATAACAAGGAAATTACACTGTTTAAATTGAATCTGGTGACAATTGAAATTAATTCCAAAATCCTCACAAATCCTTTAGTCTGAATACCAATCTCCAGCTCACTGATGACTACAGGGTAGATTTTCTGAAGCTGCAGTGATAAGCCGTCACCAGTCAGGTAGACTATTTCAACACGAAGTGGATGCTCATCTAAGGTACTGGTGAAGGCAGTGCTATATCATGAATCCACAAAGCTAGAATTCACGTGTCACTGCATTCCAACCCAATCGGCTAAATGATCACCTGCAGGTTATGGTTCCGATTCCTGGTGGAATCTTAGGAGAACACTGATGAAGATTTCAGAAATAGGGGGAAACAGCTGTCTGGCGATCCCTGGTTTTCAGCGATCTATCTAACTGATGTTGGTCCGTGACGAAAATCTAACAACTCAAATAAATCTGATGACTTGACTTTAAAAGGGGTTCTGATAACTATGTAAAGCTGTTGTATCTACGGCTGTAAAGTTTCAGAAACATGATGATTACGGTTCGTAACATTTTTTAAATGACTATTAAATTATACCATGTGTTGAAGTGTTATTCACAGGGACTAATTTTACCGTAAACGGCAAAGACGAGAACAGACCGTATAAAAATGCAATTCTTCGCTTCTTTCTATAACTCTCCATACATGAATTATCGAAAATCAAAGGGAATTAAACTTATGTTCAGCCATTTGAGCAGGAATTTAGTGACCCGTGAATTCCAACCTCTATCATTACGCCATGCTGAGCCATTAATAAGCAGCCGTTTCATACTGGCATGGTGGATCCCACCGGTTACAACTTCTCATGAGAACTTCAGAACATCCATTCAGCACCCACTAATGTGTTGGAGATAGATTATAAGTTAATCGGTTTTGTAGGATGGTTTGATTGATTTCATTGCAGACGGCTACTTCATTTACCTACATTTGGTCTGCCTTTCGGGAGATTAGGTGAAATAGTATGCTGGATCGAAGACAAATCGTTAAAAAAATTTTGTGAGTCTGTAGTTTTCAGTTTTGCAATTAATGTTCATGAAAAATGATATTTCATTTTGCCTATGCATAAAGTCCAAACTATTTTGCCTTCACTTTTGTGGTTGCTTTGATATTTAAAGAGCTTACACTTCAAAATAATTCCAAAAAGTTTGTACAAGTAACTTTCTATGCCTAATTTTCGATTGCATTGATGTATTTTGTGATATTATAATGAGGCTTATATGAAACGAGGCTATTTCAGTGATATGCAACTTGAAGTGTAAGATCAATTGACAAAATTTTATAAAGTTTAACAGGCATATATGATAGGACCTACTTTGTTAGCAGTGAATACTTGCAGAACCTGCACGAAACAAATCCCCTCAGAAAATGTACTGAAAAACACAATCTCTTTTTTAAATTAGAGGCACTACTCCTAAAACGTTTCTCTTAAAACAACTTCATCCGTAAAACATAAATTGAGAAGCTTTATGAGTGCGACTAACTTTTATATTGATTCATGGTTCAATGGGGGAAATTTTAATTCTACAATTAGTGTCAACCTAATGACAGAAAAGTCTTATGAAAATCGAATAGAACAAAACGTTACAGTGAACAAAACACAAAAAATTATTGCAAAAAAAAGTATTTTCATGAAGGATTCACCAAAAGCTAAACATTACTCTAGGCCAAGCAACAATCTGATGCGTTTATGCTAATTAACAGATGTCAGTCATACAGTGTCAGAAATTGATGGATGCTTTTGTGGTGGTGTGTTAGAGACAACAATGTGTGTTCCAATGGAATATTATTCTCACATATTCCCAAAGTTCACTACTGTGTTAGCAACAGAATACGATATATGTGTATTTGAAGATTCTATTTCATGTTGTTTATTGTAAGGTAAAATCACAGGCTCAATGAGTCGTTATAGAATAATAAATGACCGTTTGATCCCTTGAAAATAGACCTTGGCTTCCGTATCTTACCTTATGCTGTCATACGTTCTCTCTAAACTGACTATAATGCTTATCATAATTTTACAATGAAAGTAAAAATCATTATAGAACTTTTTTTAATTGTATGGAGGATTTAATCATGAGCTGACATCAGTTAGAGAACCACTGGAAAACCTGGGAGTACTGGACAGCTGTTTCGTCAGCCTAGTTTGGGACTCTTCATCAGTACGCACCCACAGGGATTCGAACCCAGGACCTTCTGGTTACAAGGCGAGCTCGTAGACCATTGAGCCACTGGGACCCGATCCAATGGTCCTAGAATTCTAACTTCTGCCAATTCACGACATAGCGCGACCACTTCGCAATGTCTTCTTCGATGAGTTACTGCTGTACCTGCTGTACCCTACTGGTCACGGCTTCCCACTAGAACCCCAGGTTAACTGCCTGAATAGGGCCAGTCACTAGTGAGCATCAGATTAATTTTCAAGTATTGATTTTGTCGGGATTTCGTTAATTCACGTCAACCGACAAGTGAGTTGGGCAAGAAAAAAGCGAAGGCTGGAATCAACTGCTAAAGAAAGTATGGTGCATGTTTTAAAGGATAACAGTTCCCGGATGTACATGCATAGCATGCAAAGTAATGTAATAAATTTTCATGAATGGAAAATGTGACTCTTACGGTTGCTGTGGTTATACTTTATCTCCAGGTTCCTATTTTACCATCATGATTAATTCCACAGGAAACCAAGTGAGCAGCTCAGTATTTAAACATGTCTGGTTAAGCCTTTAAAAACAACACTAATCTCTCTAGAGCTACCAAAACATTTTTTTATGAAAGGGGTTACGAGCAGGAAATGTATACATCTTTATAACCTTCAGCTAAATATATCACTGAATGTATCGCCTTTGAAATGAACTGTTAAATGAAGCTTTTTCGTACTCACTGTGTGCCGTTCAATCTTATCAGTTCTTGTAGAAATACTTGTATTGCCATAGTATATAAGTTTGGATGCAATATCAATACACAGAACACTGCAGTATTGTGTCATTTGCCTTGTGATTAGTCTAATAGATTTCAAACAGCATCCAGCACCAGAAAGGTGTACTGGTTACCACTTGAATACTGACTGTTAAGAACATACCAATGATTGAAATGCATGGTTGCTCAAATGAAATCTCACTTTCAAGTCTAAATGCTTCTTCTAAAACTGAAAGCAATTTGAATACTGTTTGATTAGAACGGGGGGTGTTTTTGAACAACTGCAAAGTTGAGTTATAGTACATACAAACTGTTTGATACTTAGTAAAGTAAACTGATTCATTTATGAATGCATACTAATGTTCATTTGACTGCTGACTTATTGCTGCTTGGAGACTTAATTTGTAAGAATAATACTACGTCACTGTCTGAAATAAGACTGTGGTATTTTATATACAACAAAATATGTCCATTCAAAAAGGGTCAGATGACTAGTGTAGTGCATACTACTTTTAAATAGCTATAAGTAGTAAATATGGTTAAAATGATACTGAACTACCTACTCATTCTTAATTGTTTGCATTTCTCTCCTACTCATAGAAGACGCTTACCACGATCGACGTATCATTTGTTGTCGGAGGTGCACAAGCTGCTCGTCAACTTGTAACATTGATCAAAAGTATCCTTATTCATCGAAACTGGCAAGGTCAAGAGGAATCATTTAAGCCGTCTACAAAAATGACAATACCTCAGTCGAATTCATTATTGCAATCCACTAAGAATAAAGAAGAAATATCATTAGTCAACCGAGGCAGTGGTAAAAGCTGTTACCTTACTAATATCAATTTACATTTACTAACTGATTATCTGGCTTATAGAAGTCTCAGTGTCTTATTTAAAACATGGAGTATACCCAACATCAATGTATACTACTACCATCTGGAGGAATATGTGGTAAATACTGGTTTTTAAAAATATTTTCTTTAATAACTTTAATCAATTTGAAGTTCATATGCTCATTGATGAAAATCATGCATGAGGAAGAAAGCTACATTTCTTAGAAAACATTTAAGCAAATGGAAAATATTTATGGATAGTTATTGATAATTTTCTCTAAAATTTGATGCTGTATGTGAAACATAAGGGATTTAATGACTAGTTGAATCGTCGCCGATACAAATTGAACGATAACATTAAGTCTGTCAGTTAATTTTGAACTTTCTCGAATTATTCGTTACAATAGTGATTCGACTAGGTTTCTGTTTACTTTGCGATAATTTAGTATTTATTTATTTTTATTTACTTTTGATTACAGCTTGATTCCACACTGTAATTTTGGTACAAGTATGGAATTTTCAGCACGGATATCGGTAGCCCAAATTTTGCAGGCTGACCATAGATATCACTTGTGCGTCGGCAGGGGATCGAACCTTGGACCATGTGAATGGTCGGCGAGAGTCCTAATCACTGTGCCACCTACGGCTTTATTTATTTGGTGAAGATTATATATATGTATGAATGGATATATTGCACTAAACTTGAATAAGGTATTCGTTTTTTAAGCAACTTCGTACAATTAGTTTCACTGATAAAATTGAATATTGAGATAAGAACACCTTTTGCAGGATAATATAAATTTCATTTTATATCAATGGATTTTCAATAGCTGCATACAACCTGAATAATAAACTGTATAAACAATAAGTGTGAAATAATTTCAGATCTCTTTTAACTGAATAGCCATTTCGTTCTATAAGAGTTAAATAACATGTCGAGAGCGGAGGCGGGGTACAAGGTTTACGAGAAATGAGAATAATGAATTATGATCAAAACAGAGACATTATATCCAAGTGTTGGTTTGTAGGGATTTGGTTGATTGGTTACAGGATTTCGTCATGAGCTGAAATTAGTTAGAGAACCATTGGAAAATCTGGGACTACTGGACAGCTGTTTCGTGCAAGTCAGGCGTGAGGACAAATACTCGCCAAAGACATTGGCTAAGGGTCGCGCTATGTTGTGAATCGGCAGAAGTTGGAATGGCTCAATGGTCTACAAGCTCACGTTGTAAGCAGAGGGTCCAGCGTTCGAACTATGGTGGTGGGTGTGAAGTGAGGAAGAGTCCCAAACTAGGACGAAACAGCTGTCCAGTATTCCCTGACAAGTTTTCTCATGCTTCTCTAACTAATGTCAGCTCATGATGAATTCCAGAGACATTATATATTGTACATGGAAAAGTGTTCTCAGATTTTTAGGGTAATTTAGACATAAGTGGAGAAAAGTGGAGGCAACTACATAGTGACGTGCAAAGTTATTCAACCGAAATGAAAAGGTCAATGATACAAATATATTAGGAATTAGTAAGGAAACAGATGAATAGATTTATCGAGTTAAAGTAAAATAAAATGAAGTTTCAACAACCTGAAGTCAATTGGTTGATGGTGAGTAGCAGTGGAATCCATGGTGCGCGTTTCATCCTATTTGGAGTATTTTTCATCTCGATGCACCTGCATTCTATAGTGAGTGATGGTATTCCCACTGAGGCTCAAACTCAGTGTCCTTAGTTTCAAACGCTGAAGTGCTGTCCACGAGAGCCCCCTTTTATGCAACGGGTCTTATTTATTATTAAATTAAATTCAGAACACCATCACTCACTGGGCAATGCAGGTACATCTAGATGACGAATCAATCTCAAATAAGACGAACTGCGCATCCTGGATTCTACTGCTAATCACTATCCACCAATTGACTTCAAGTTACATGACCAAACATCGTCGAAACAGCTGTATAAACAGCCAACATGTCAACCTGAAACCGAGCACCTCGGTCCAATGAGTCGATTGGAAAATCTAAATTGAATTAAATAAAGAAGTTACAACAAGTAAAAGTGAATGTGTTAGTGCTTACCGAGGTAGTAATAAGTTAGTGACAGTCTCTTTTTGCACACATCATCTTCGTATTTCACTTTATTATCACTTGTGCAGCTATTTCGGGCAATATCCACTGCTTTTAACCTGTAGTATGAGAAGAGTGCTACCTTTAAATTCCGTACTAATTTGGAAGTTTATTTAGGTAAGAAGCTAAATTTATGGAACAATAAATAATCATACGACTTTCTACAGTGTCAGTCATTTCATTCGCGATGAGAATATGTAGTAACATCCAACTCTTCGCTCTCATTAAAGCGCTTGGCTGCCATTAAGTGTGCCCGCAACTCCCACCACCTTAAAATGTCTGAACAATTTTCAAAAAATGAAAACGTAAAATGACAGAGATGACACTGGGTTCTGATGAAGTATAAATTATCAGCCATACACAGTAAGACGAAATTGAATGCTTTAGTAATGGAATAATGCGTTCACTCCTCACAGATATTTTCTCGTAGTAGTAGTAGTTCTACCACTGTTTTGTCGACACTGTACACATCAATGACTCTAACTCGAGAGCAGTTAGTCTTATTAATCCGACGAAATTATTAGAAATGCTATTTATAAGTAAACTAGATGATAATGAATTATTTCCGGGGCAGTTATGAAAGAAACAACCTTCTTTACCTACTCAAATGGGAAGCATCGTTTCAACTACAGGCGGACGGAATTGATGAGGATAACAAAGCTGCGAGGATTGGGAAAGCAAGACAAGCTTCCACTACTCTCAAGTCTGTGTGGAGGTCAACAGCACTCAGAATCAAAAATAAGATCCGGATTTTCAACTTCAATGTGAAGTCAGTGCTACTATACGCATATGAGACTTGCACTGAGCGTCATAAAGAGCATCTCGAACAAACTACAGACCTTCATTAACAGTTGTCTTCGCTCAATACTCAAGATCAGATAGCCAGTCAGAAAAGATCAGCAACAGAGATCTCTGGCAATGAGCGAACCAACCAGGAACCGATTGTGCAACAAATAACCAGGAAGAAATGGAGATGGATTGGCTAGCCATACTCTGAGGAAACAATGCATCAAGTGACATCGCTAGACAAGCCATTGCTCGAGTGGAACCAGGCCGAAAGGGAAGCGGCGAGTTGGTCGTCTGTGCAAGGGTGACTTGGAGGAGGTGATGTGAAGAGGAGATGAAAGCATGTGGGGAGACTCAGAGCCAGGTGAAAACTCTAACAGAGGACCGAGCGCAATGGAGACGTGCAGCTGAAGCCCTATGTTCCTCTAGGAATTAAAGGAAATAATAATGATCCAGTTAAATATAACACAAATAGGTAACATTTATTGGTAGTATATATATTTCTAAATTAGTAAAGCAGAAAGGACAAATTGATTGATGTGATAAGTATAAAGTAGTAAACATTTTCAGTAGAAATAATAAGTCGAATGTTTGGAAGCCTATTAACTTCATGTAGCTTTCTCTTAACAAATATAATTCATCTTTGTCAGATTACATATGAGTACTTAGCTTTAAATGGATCTTTTCATTGTGAATGATCAATTGCATGTTCACTTTATATTCGATGAATAAAACAACTTAAACAATTGTGTCACTCTAAAATGATGATGTATTAGTTCATGCCTATGTTAAGACAAATAAAGATTTCCCATTAATTATTAATGATTACATGGAAATGAAGGTGTGAGAGGTATATCTTTACAAGCTATTGTTTCTCTTTTAAAATAAAGTTTTATTCTATTTTTTTCCTGAAAATAAATAAAACTCTGCATCAGAATACTCTTTCTGTTGCTAAAAATCAAGTCGAATTTATTGGGTAACATCGTGTTGCGCTTGATTTGAAACACAATGAAAGCGTTGGCCATGCTTCTAAGGTAAATGACATAAATCAAACGTTCAAATTATTCATGAGAAAATGCGAAAAAAATCTAAAGAATATCCAAATGTTTGCAAACTTTTTCATAGTCAAATCTTTTCGTACAAGGTGCGATAAGGAAATACGCAAATTACAGAAATTCTGTGGTCCGTCATTTAAATCTTCGACTTTCCCAGAACACCTTGACAGATCCGTCAGGTAATCTGGTCGCCAGTCAATGTATAGTTTCTTTATCCGCATAACTACGTCAGTACTTCAGCTAAGTAATGGTGAAAATAACAGCTTTATTCTAGACAGCAGGGAATTCTTATCATACTTTATTGGAAAGTATTGACTATTCTTACGAGACCTTCAAGTAGAACAGTAGCTTTAAAATGCAAGTGAACTTAAATCAAGTGTTTGGTCTATAGAACAAGAGCAATCTGCTCTCATTAATGTCTTAATAAAAAACGTAATATTGTGAAACAATTACTGAGAGAACTTCATTGACAGGAATATTAATCTAAAGCCAAGCCAAATTAATCTAGAACAAAATATTTAGAGCGAACAGTTGTTTTCAATAAATTTTTCTTCAGGCTCTACAATTATAAATCTATTAATTTAAGCATACAATAGCCAGCCAGTAAAGGCCAATTATAATCATATCAGAAAGTGTATTGTGGAACAAGTATAAGATGGGCTGGAACAATAGTCATATAGTTATATAGTTTTTTAATATGCATGGTCAATGAGAACATGGTGCAAAATGAGATGATATATATATATATATATATATATATATATATATATAGTCAACAGAAAATACAGGTTTCGAGAGTGAGTGTATGAGACAATATGAAAATAAACCAACGAATGGGGCGGTCTAGACTTAAGTTCAAGGTTGAAAATAACAACAATAAGAATGATTGTAAAATAATAACGATGATATGGTGTAAAATTAAAATTAAATGTACTATTGGTGAATGATTGTCAAATAATAATAATGAATATAATGAAGTGGAATGAACAGGATTTTGTAAATACGATAGCAAGTTAGAGAAGCACTACTTAAACCTAAGGTAATAAAATCATAAGATAGGTCATGAAATCATAAAAGTCGAAAATGAACGTTTGTCGATGAAACAGAGGAATGAAAGAAGAAGAAAAGAAAAGAGAATTGTGAAAGGTATTTATAGTGTTAATTGAGGATTTTTTGGCTTTATTGTAGGCCAAGGTAAACATAGAGGTTGAACATACTTCTTCTGTATGCAAAGAGATGGTCTTCTGGTATTATTTGCAACCACTTCAGCTACTGATAGAAGACGTAGTCGAGCTCCTCTAGATAAATTACTAAGAACGGGATAAATAACTAAGAACGCTTGGTCAAGTTTTATCGGGTGTCCAGTATCTACCAAGTGGGCTATGACTGTACTATTTATGCATTTGGTTGCTCCTTTACTCAACCATACCGATACATGTTCACGCGCGCGCATGGATAAATCCCTCTGGGTACGGCCAATGTACCTAGCTCCACATGAGCAGTTGAATTCATAGATGCACATTGATGAGGCCATCTTTGGTAATTCACCCTTGACTTGCTGTGTGAGTACTGGTTTAGTTGAGAAGTTGAGTACCGGTTTAGCTGCAGAAAATGTTCTATCCACTGCCCGATTCAGTCGAAATTTTAGAATGTCAGCTGCAATTTCCCCTTTGTAAATTAACTTAAGATACAAATTAATCTGTCAGAATTTTGGAAAAGATTCCATTATGGATAAGATTTTATTTTGATAATTCACACAGTGTTGTACAGTAATATTAACTGAAGAAGACATTGTACTTAAACTTTAGTTCCTTAGTTATAACACCAGTGACATTATAACACAACGCTTGAAGAATGCGATAAAAAGAGTGTTCAGTGCCACAGAAGCCCACTGTGTCATCTAACCATTCCAATTTTACTTTAGGCAGTTAAGAATATACTACCTAATTTTGTCTCCTTTCTGTGTACCTATCATTTTGACTGTTCCTGTAGAGCTATTTACAGTGGGCATACATTTGTGTGTACTTGCGATCGGATTTCTGAATATAATCCTGTATTGTTGAGCAAGAGATAGACAAGAACTATCCACAGCTGCATATCAACTCATCTTGTAGATTGTGAGCACAAAGTCAATTTTATTAAGGCTTTTAAAGTAGCATACTGTATTCCAACTAATCTCAGTTTTACAATATAAGTTCGTCTTTTGCATATATCTGAAATCATCGGAATTCACCTTAAGAAGCCTAACTGACGTTAAGAGCCAATTAGAAATATGCGTATGTGTATGATTAAAATAATAAGAAATGAAGAAAAATTGATGTATTACGTGAAATGAAAACCTAGGTAGCCCCGTGATTTAAGCAAGCCGCTGAAAGACCATGGCAACAATAAGCAAGTCATTCGTTTTTCTTTTCATTTGTTACATAAATAGGGTAAATGGGCTTACCAAATGAAAAATACGCTCATTAGTTTCTCCACGGTTGTTTTCATCACCTCATAAATTAAGCACATCTTCAGTTACTTGTGTCTCTCTCATACAGACTCAAGTTTTAGTGAGAAATCAACATTAAGACTTAAAGGTTTTAGAGTCATTCATCAGTGTCATTTTAAAATGAATATTCAACATCTGTATTGATTAATTTAATGTACATTCATGTATAAATTAAATTATTGAATTGATCCGTTTTAAATGTTTTTTTAGAATAAAGTATCATGGATACCAAGTACACATTATTCTGGGATATTTGGTTTATCAAAATTACTTATCCCAGACATTCTACCAGATTCTGTTAAAAAAGTAAGCCATTCATTCGATTAATTATTTTTAAATAGTATCTTTTTTGCATTCGTGGGAGTGTTGAAATCAGTTCGTTGTACTATCGCTAACTCAGTTTCTTTCGTTAACTTCGCCTACTCACTTCCTTAAATTCTGTAAAGTTTGCCACTGCGAAAACTAGACATAACGATGTAGCTGTTATTGATAATAACGAAAACACAGTCAGATCACTCTTATGTTCATATTGATTGTATATTTTATATGCGTTTGATTGACAAACTAAACCATTGTGTACTAGTACCTCAGTATTTATTCTGGCTAAGTAATTCTGAGTTGCATTTTATGGCTACTGAATCCTAACATTCATGGATGTATAACTAGAGAACCTGAAGAAGACGACGTTACTGACAACAGTTATTCGCTCGAATTACTCTTAGCTTGGATGTACTAGGCAGATATACAACATACTGGATAAATAATTATTTTCAAAAGAATGGATACTGAACAAAGAGTACTCTTTTCGATAACCCCTGCATCATCAGGCTCTACAGTTATATATACATTATGAAGAATGAATGAACTAGTACTATGAACAACATTAATGTTGTTTAAATAACATCGAATCAATAATATTGATAGATTACAGCTCAATAGCATCAACATAAAATAAGCTGAATGTCAGAAAAATTAGGAAAGATAATACCATAAATATATGAATTTATAGTCTCTACTGAAGGCTGGCCAGGGCAGTAGTAGGGGCAGGACTTGCTTCTTTTGCCGGTATATAGATGACACCTTCATCCTTTGTGATAATGGTTCTGATAGGAGTACAATAATTACTGAATTCAATAAAGTACATGTGGCTATGAAATTCATATGCAAAGAGGAATCCCAAGACAGAATTGCCTTCCTGGATATCCTCCTTACAAGAAAACCAGATGGTAGCTTAAAAAGAAATTTGCATAGGAAAAGTACTTGGACAGGACAATATACACATTTTCACAGCTTCGTTCCTATCAAGTACAAAAGAAATTTAGTCAAGACCCTCAGTCACAGAGTTAGAGCTATATGCTCAGAAGAAGTAGTTGAAGATGAATTAAGCATTGTATATGATACCTTAATTGAAAGTAACTATCCCGACAAATCTATCACAAAACACACGACAAAGAAAGCGGGAAAAGGCTGATCACTATCCGTAAGCAAGAAGACTTTATATGTTTATATGACTGCAATTCTAGGACAATATACCAAGCGAAATAATTGCGAAGAAATTGAGAGAATCAGTTCAAAGAACTTTTACTGCTGGCGAAGTACACGTCTTATTTTCTACATGACCGATGGTGCTACCTCGACGGAAAGATGAAGTACCTTGACTAGCCAATTCAAATTGTATCTATCAATTCAACTGCACTTGTGGAGCAAGCCATATTGGCTCTTGGAACTTGATTTTTCGTGCTGTCTCGAGAACATCTCCCAGTACGGCTTAGTAAAGGGGTAGCTAAAACCATTAACAGTTCGATATTGGACCATCTGGTCCAAACCGGCTACAAAGCTAGCGTAGAAGCATCCTTCTCTGTCATCTACCGGGTGCCTAATAAACTGCAAAAATCATCGAAGCACCACATGCTTTAAACAGCAGAGGCTATTGTAATTCGTCTCAAACAACCAGTGCTCTGTGTTTAGAAGAAGCAAGTCCAGCCCCTACTACTGCCCTGACCAGCCTTCAGTAAAGACTAAAAATTCATGAGTTTGTAATATTATCTTTCCTAATTTTTCTGACATTCAGCTTATTTTATGTTGATGCTATTGAGCTGTAATCTATCAATATTATTGATTCGATGTTATTTAAACAACATTAATGTTGTTCATAACACTAATTCATTCATTCACTATAATTTATGTATAACTGTAGAGCCTGATGATGCAGGGGTTATCGAAAAGAGTACTCTTTGTTCAGTATCCATTCTTTTGAAAATTTTAATGGGCATTTTTAATGAATTAGAATAATCACTTATTTGTGCACCATAATTAGGTGAAGTCCTCGTTGACTGATTTGAAATTAAAAGTTAGTGAGCAGTGAGTTTACGCAGACATTTACACAGTGTATCAGGATGTTACCTTGACTAATTTCATGTTCTTCATGATTAAGGTTCTGAGTATTTAGAAAAATCTCACATCACCTTTTTTAAAAAATTATGAAATCCTTTCTACCAGTAATTCTCAAACGGAGTAAGAAATAAAAATATCATCGCGGAAGTGACTTACGGAAAAGACATCACTGCAAACTTTGACGGTAAAGGATTTTCAGCATGATGTATGCCAAGGTTTCCTTACAAAAGCAATTTCCGTTTGCGTATAAAGTTGTTGAGGGGTTTTTACAAAATATTTCGGTTAACTGTAATTAATTAGTAAAAAAGTGCTCAAAAAGGATTAACCATAATAATAGCTTCATTCCAAACAGTTTTATGAAGGTTCAATAAAAGAGCTAGTTGATGAATACCGTTCAACTTAATACGCCTAATGCACTGGAACAATAGTTGAGTCAAATTTACGACTAAAATTGTATCAAATTAAATATATTATTTGATGTTTTTGTATGTTATCTCTGTCAGTATCTTCTCTCAAAAAGAATCCATTTGTAGTTTCCCAAAACTTGTTCAGGGTTGGGAGACCTAAGATAATGTTAACGACAGAGAGAGATGGCTTCATCTTATGAACATCTGCTGAGTTTTTCTTTAAATTCGTGAAGCAGATCTAAAATTCACATTTATAGGTTCTTAGAATATTAAAAATGTAGCATCCACGTAGTACAGCTAGGTAGCGTGGTCGAATATAAATATGAAAACAGTCCGATAAGTCGTTAACTATTGATACCAGCTTCGTAGAAAAAAAGTCAGATTACTGGCCAGAACCTTCAGGATATTTGAGAATGATAAGTAAGGATTTTACGTAAAACGACTATAATTGTTTACCTGAAAAATTACCGAGTAGCTGTGTTTTACTACCAGTAGAAAAAATGGATAACAAATAAAACTGATGTGTAGCTATTAGAATGAAGTCAGATTTGTCACGTTTTTCTCTCAGACTACTAAAGTTAAGGCTATTGCTTTCTTGCGCTAGGTAGCTTATGATTGAACTCCATCCTGCTTAGTTTATCCTAAAGAAAGGAGTTATCTTTCATAGACATGTCGCAGTATTTCTTTTCCTTAACTGCTGAAAGGTAAACATTTCGGTGAACCTATTTTATAATTGTAATTTATTGAGCATTTGATAACAACAAAGTCAAATGGAACTGAATATTCCTTCCTAATTTTTGGGCACTTGTTACTCAGACAAAATCATTACATATAATTTGAAAAATAATATCTGTGAGCAATTAGTGAGACACTAATTGACATGATAAATCTGTCTGAGACAGCCAAACAATCGGATTTCTGACTAGTATGCATCACACATTTCTGGGTTGCTACCGGTTGCATTCTCTTACAGCCTTAAATGTTCACGTCGGACATAAAATCAGACGATAGTATTGCGTTGAATACATGTAATTTTAGTAGCGAGAAGGTAATTAGCCATTCACATTCTGAGTTATGAGTCTACATTAAATCACTGATGAGACGTGATCCTACAGACATACACACACACACACCATTGTATACTGCGTATATACACATATTTTCATATGCTTTGAAAGTGTGAAATATTCCCATATTATCAATGAAAAGTCAATCTGAAAGAAGAATATTCTTTCCAGTCCGGAAGCTGTTCCTACCGTGGCCAAACTTGGATTGATGGTTCTTCTTCTCACTAAGAGTGCTCCTTCCCCTTAACCCTCTTGGTTTTTTTTCCTTTGCTTATTATTATAAATATTATTATCACAAATAGTGTTATTACAATTATTATTATCACAATTGTTATCGTTATTATTCGTCGTAATTTATGCCCTTCATGCAAACATTCCCTCAATACTATCGAATGTTATTATTATTGCTAATGATATTATCTCTTTTCTCAACATATGGCTCCGCCTGTTTCATTTCATATATTCGTTATTTCATTATGAACCTCTCATTGGATTCTTACTATCTTCTGTTTAACATAGACCACTTTGTACTAGCCACCCACCTGACACCTTTTATAACCTTGAACTGACTTGTCAATTTTCCTACCCCACACTCTACAAATCTATTATCATTATTCACCACCATTATCTCCCGTTTTACAATATTTTTGTAATCGATTTCAGCCTAGCACGTTTGTCACACAAATACGACTATTTATCTTGACACCCCATAAGTAATATCAGTAAAAAGTTTGAGCATTGTGGATCAGATCAAATAAAGTATAATTCTATTTCAATAGTTTACACGCAATGATAAGTTTTGTTATTGGTAATATTTTGTTTTGTATGTGTATATATGTTTTGAACACGGGCAGTAATTATGCTCGAAATATTACCAATAACAAAAGTTATCATTGCGTGTAAACTACTGAAATATAATTATACTTTATTTGACCCCACAACTAATCTGTTATTTTACGTTAAAAATGTATCCATCGCATAACTGGCCTTTATTGTAACAACAACAAATATTATATTTTATAATTGTAAGAACCTGAATAGTGGAAATTATTGAAAAGAATATTCCTCGCTCAGATTGACTTTTAATTTTCATATGCAGTTATCTACGACCATGAACTTTTAGTCGAACGAAATCTGATGAAAAGTACACTTTGTTTAGAGTGTTTATCAAAAGTAGACTAATTTTAAAAGTCTGAGGTCAAATTTTGACCAAAGTTCACACAATTTTTTTTTTACTGTACGTCTTGATATCTATTTCATGACTCATAAGATTAAACGAAGTTTTTAAAAACAAGATATATCCTTTTATGTATGAACCTCTGTTATGCTAATTTCGATGCTAATTCCCCTGAAGAAGTTCGGACCAGTTTGCCGAAAGAAACTTTGGAATTAATCATTTCATTTTCGCGAAGATTTTACTAATATCATTTTACTAATTGATGAAAAAGAGAAGACGTTCAGCAAAGAGACTCTTTCCGGGGGATTCATTCACATAGCTGTATAATCGCATTTATATGTAATTATTTGTGTGTGTTTAGACAATTAATCACGTAATATAAGAATGATCTAATATAGAAACAAGGTTAATCAGGCAGCAACTAAAGTAAGATTGAGTTACTAAGTTAGATGACGTAATATAATTGACTAAGGTGTTTCAACTTAGGTCAGGATAGCAACAGAGGTAATTACAGGTAGAGATTAAGTAGAGGCGAGGTAGACAATGTTGCCATTTAAATCAGAACTAAAATTAAGCAAATAATTTGAATGACGTAACATAAGTGACTTGAAATTGAGCGTTGGTCAAGTCAATAACAGTGGTAATGAGGTGCAGAAATTAAAATTGTTGAAACCTATTAAACATGGCTTACAAGCCATAATCTTTTAAAAGAAAGAAGAGATATTTGTCGACAGCTCCATATATCATACATAATATCATGTGTCTGTTTGTAAGACTGGCGGGCTTTCAGACACTATATACTACTTATTTAATGTTGGAAAGCATAAATGAGATTCAGATACAACGGACTGTTGGCGATAGATTAGTACCATTTTTGGTAAAATGTCATAGAGTCAGTAAAAATCTTTGGATTCTCTGAACAGATAGGTATATTTTCGTAACATTTCACTTTCAAAATTGCAATCTCGTATTCATTATATTTCAGGTGATTAGTCTTGATATTGATCTGTTAGTAAATTCGGATCTTTTGGAACTTTGGAAGTACTTTGATAAGTTCAACTCGTCCCAGGTCAGTTCTCTTGTTGTTTGCACGTTCAACTTATGATATTTAACGATAGCGTAACACTTTTGTCCCCAGGTTTTTTTTATATTTCAAAGTAGATTTAGTAACAAACTGTTTGTTTCGGTGAGGTTAACCACAAATTAAACTACTCTTATTATTGCAGGATCATATTAAAAATGTATGTTTGTTGTAATAATATTATGACATAAAAGATTATATATTGTTGTTATTCGATAGTTAGAATCAATCAGAAAGAAGCCTTGGACCCAGGTTCACGCCTGTTGGTACTCGTTTGCAAGAAGTATCAGCAATCTGGAAGGGACTGAGATCCCACTTGATATTCATACCCAGTGCCACAGTCAGAGGCGTTACGACTAAGCCACTGGCCATCTGTAAAACTGTATTAGATAGTTTGACTGGACACTAGTTAGTAACTAGTATCATGAGTCTCGTCCTTTGTTTGGCGCTGAATAAATTCTAGCAGTGAAGTTTGCAATGCGGCCACCAAACAAAGGACTTAGACGCATAACCCTAGGTGCTCACCAGTATCCAATCAAAGTAATTTTAGCACCGCTGCATAACTTCTGTTTCCAAAAAGTACTTGAAATTTTAGTTATTTATACAGCAAATTACCATAAGACGTCTTAGTTGCAGACAGAATCAGTTCGTAGTAAAAGGTGAACTTAGGGATATTGACTTACTGACAACCATCCCTGACGTATATTCAAATCTTATGGACATCTATGGTTACGCTAAGTTCCAAAATAAGATGAATTATTGCTAAGCTGTTAAAATTGATATCACAAAACGGAAGACTAAATAAGGTAAGCAAATAGGTTAATAGTAAGACCAGATACATGAATAAGGAACCATTGTTGACCACTTCCCTATACAGAATTACTCTCATACAAGTACTAGTATAATACAATTTAATCAAGGCAATTATTTAGTTAGCAGATAGAGAACTCTTTAGCTCTAATTAATTGCAAGTTTGAAGGGTTTAGAGAAGAGAATTTTAAAAAAAACACTCAATAAAAGAGAACTCATTTTTCAGTTGTATTACTTTTAATTTCTATTGCAGATGATCGGATTAGTTGCAAATCAAAGTCCATGGTATTTAAGAAAGGCCAATAGAGTCGTGTGGCCTGCATGGGTAGGTAAATTTCAAATGGCTATTTATTATTCTCTTACATTTGTATAATATGTCTACATGTGATTCATTCTTTCTACATGAAGGTGGTAAATTCAAATATAATAAATGGACCGGTTAGTGAAGGATATTCCTTTCATAATTCCTCATCAAAGCTTCGTGGCTAAATTGTTTCTGAAAGGTCATGAGAAGTGCCAATAGAGGTCAGTTATTAACCTTATTCACCGACAACTAATATGAAATCATATATCATAAATAATGAAGGGATAAATTAGGAAATTCAGTAAGGAAGTCTTACGAAATTCAGAAGATACCTAAAATGGTGTAGAAAAGTGCTCATATTTGAATATGATGTTCATCTGACTGGTAAACTTATTTATATATAGTGAGTATACTAGGCTGGGGAACAGCATTAATATGAGACATTGAGAACATGTATTTAACTTTATTTTTCGTTCCATGATTTCCAGATAGGACTTAGGGCTTCGATAACACATCTCCGTTCTACACTTTACTCTGCTATCATTTTTAAATGACTCCACGACAGCTCACAATCATTCAGTTCTTCTTCTCATGATCTCCTCTATGGCACCCTAGGAACCTCGGTAAACTTGTCACTTCTCATTCATCTTTCACTCGAGATCCTACTAGGAGTGCGATACCACTTCAACATCTCTTCAACATACATCCAATCTGTTTCCATATATCCTTCTGCATAAGTGTTATGGGCGCTTCTCTGCCGAAATTCGTTTGGTTGCTTATCTTTTCTGACCGGATATCTGGTTTTCAGTATCGAATGAAAGAAAGTGTCAAAGAAAGTCCGCAGAGACGAGCGTATCATGTATCTCAACCATATAAAAGCACTAAATTGACATTAATGTTTGAAAATTTGATACTGTTCTTTCTACTGAGTGCTTTAGATTGCTTCACTAATCTCAGGGCAATGAACGATTTACTTGACTTTCCTATCCTGGCTGTGACATTCACTTTTGCACCTCTTGTGGGTCACTTAAGTAAAAGAGACAACTTTCTGTAGATTCCTCTCAATAAAGGTGATTGGTGTTTGTTATTGCTGGTCGTGAATTGTTATCGTCTCTGTCTTCTCGATGTTCAATTGAAATCCTTTCTAACTTCATCTCTGTTTCCGTCAAACTGTTGGTTTCCGCTTTCATATCTTTGAGGTTTTGAGACATAAGAAATAAATCATTCAAGAAATGCAAGTTTTCTAGGGTATTTTTGTTAGTCTAACATTTTTCTGTCTTCTCTTTCATTCCTCACTATCTGTCCATCACTATTAGGTTTTTCGTAGTGTTATCTTGTCTTAATCCTGTCTTCACTACAAATGCTTTGGTAATCTTTTCGCTTTGAATTACTTTGCCTGATATTTTATTAAATTTACATAAGGCGTAACAACCTAACTCAGAACCGAATTTTAAACTTGTTTAATTATTTTTTTACGTGTTCATTTTTAATAAGAAATCGGGTTACAACACCGGTGTTATGTTGTTGCACCTTGATCGTCTCAGAAAATTTCATTGGTCAGAACACTGGAATAGAACAACAAAATCTGCATTGTTACGTATATCTCATGCAAGTTTAGCAGACCAGGTTAGTTTATACTATATATATATATATATATATATATATATATATATATATATATATATATTCTGTATCATTCAGAATTTACATACTCGTCGCTTCTTTCAAGTGTCTTTCATTTTGAGAATTATTTATTCACCTATTTCACTTGACGTTTTTATTTTGGGCTTCATTGTAACTTCCATTAAACATTAAAACAATTAGTCCCTTTGACAAGTTTGAATAAGGCATTTATAAATGTGGCTTTCTCTAAGAAAGATTTTAGAAATTCACGGTTAAATGGAAGACAAATTTCGCGAGATGATATCATTTCGTAGTTTCTTTACAACCGCTTTACAACTAACATGGTTAACAATAATTAAATAAAGATTATGACAATTACTCAGTTATATAAAAAACAAAAGTACATACTAATGACCAATCATATTAAGATAGGTCATGTAGTCCAGGGTAGGAGAAGATTGAAGTCTATTGTTTTTTTGTACACACAATTTAGGCTGTATATGATTAATCCAAAGTGCTTCCATCACCTTCAAAAACCAACCTTGAATTAGAGTTATGTGAAATAATTGTGAAACAGTCATTAATATTGATTTTGTGACCTGACATTAATTAGTGTTTTGAAATGGATGATGCTGGATTTCTATTCACACTAATTGTATTTGGATTTTCTAGATGTTTTAGTGACCATTTTGTAACATGTTGTTTTCGACGACATTGGAACATTTTATTGGTTCTACCTTCATAGGTGTCACAGCAGCTGCAGGTGAACTTGTAGATACAGTTTGAAGTAGAGTCCACAGAATTTCGTCCTTTAATCGTAGGTACAGGGATCAAAAATGTTCGGCACGTGAGAAAAAGAGATGTGGCGGCGTAGAATGTGCGTTCGATGGCTGACCGAAGTCTTTCAGCTGTCAACTGCATAATCTGGTCACCCTTGAGTGGTATGTTAATAAAGATAGCTTTCTTTGGTGCAGAAGCTGTCTTTTCTAGATGTGGTCTATCCTTACTGAGGCAAGTGAGGAAGTTCTCTGGATAACCATAAGCTAATAAAACTGAATGTATATGTCGAAATTCATCCATCAACGTGTTACTCGTATATTATTATTTTTAACCATGTTATGTGTAAAGCGGTTGTAAAGAAACTACGAAATGGTATCATGTCGCGAAATTTGTCTTCCATTAAACAGTGAATTTCTAAAATCTCTCTTAGAGAAAGCCACATTTATAAAGTTTGCAGTTTCAACTGTCTGACGAGATTTGTTAACATGTTATTTTTCAAACGATACACCATAAATTATTGTTGTGTGCTTTGAGCAGTTGAATATATGGTGATCCTCACAAAAGTCGAAATTTCGCTTTTATGCTGTTCACATTTATGATGGTATTAAAAGCTTCTTTTTTAGTTATTTAATTAAGTCAGTGTATATTTTCAGGCTCCCATCAAAGAACTCAGAAATATTAGTAATCGATTAACCTTTCCTCTTTAAATGTATTTGTTCATTTTACCAGACTAGGTACAGAAAAATCGTCACTCTCCATAATGTCACCTCTAGCTCTAAAACTATGTAATCTTATGAAGTGCACAGTAATATTGTAACGACAGAAGTCAAGGGCCAGGCAACAGATCGTTTATTGAAAAAATCAACAGATACTTACAGATTTTTATGTACATTATTGTTAGCGTTGTTGTTAGCAGAGAAGCAACGTCTTCTGATTGAGTGTTTTCTTGCTGAAGGTTATTCTGCACTGCTTGTGACGGTTTCTTAGAAAGTTAAGTCATGTATCTGAGATTCGTATTTGCACACGTAAACTCTGCTGTGATTGGTTGGTGAGTTCCTCAAGGTTAAGCTTTGTTATTGTTTTTTCTCATGACCCCAATTCGGGATGTAAACACTGACGTAAAATTGTTGTCTACAGTTTTGGCTTGCAGACAGATCTCACAACAATGTGACATGTTAAAAAAAATCAGTTTATTTTAACGTATTATCATAATATTTATGCAAAGTTAACAATAAAGGTTTATAGTATCCGCCGTGACATTCCCTGGATATCACTATTATGTTCACTACAGTAAAAAGAAAAGCGAGCTATGTAAACATTACTAAATCTCTTGAATAAAAACAGAGAGCTTACTGACTAAACAAAAAATTATGTCTCCAGATGTATTCGAATACTGTCGTTTTGTCCTTCTATTTAATTACAGTTCTAAAAGTTAATTATTATTATTGTTCCCTTGGGTTACTAGTGGAACATAGAGCTTCAGCTGCATGTCTCCACTTGCTTCTGTCTTCCACTGTACTTTTCACCTACATCCATGTTAGTCCATACTGTTTCAGCTCCTCTTCACATGATCTCCTCCATGTCAGCCTTGCACTGACGTCCCACTCGCCGCTTCCCTTTCGGCCTGGTCCCACTCGATCAATGGCCTGACGCGCGGTGTCACCCAGTGGTCTCCTCAGCGAGTGTCCAATCCATCTCAATCCACTTTCTCCTGCATATTTGTTGGGCGATTGGTTCTTGTTTTGTTTCTTCACAGTCAGAGTTTCTTGTTGGTGATTCTTTCCGGCCCGGCCATCTGATCTGATCTTCAGTATGGAGCGAAGACAGTTGTTGATGGAGGTCTGGTCTGCAATAGGCTGTTGGAAATATTTTTTGTGACCCTCTAAGTTTCTGATCCGTATAGGAGAACTGACTGACTTGACGTTTGTATTGAAAATCCTACCGAATTTTGTTGCTGATTCTGAGTGACGAAGATTTCCAGATTGGTTTTAGGTTGGTTGATGAATGTGTTTCTCGCCTTCCCGATTCTCGCTCGATTTGACATCCTCGTCCGTTCCGACTGCCTGTAGTTGAGACAATGCTCCCTAGATAAGTGAGTGAATGAAGTAGCCTCTTTCAAATCCCTCCCGTTGATAGTGACTGATGCCGGATGTTTCTGCTGTTGTTGTCGGTTGGTTGGTTGGTTATTTTCATAACCTCCGTCTTGTTCACTTATGTTCACCTGGAGTCCTGTCTTCGCCAGCTGCTTCTTCAAACAGTTTGTTGGTCTTCGCTTGTAAGTATTCGATTGTGTGTGACATCAAACATAAATCATCCACGCGCAAGATCCAGGTCTTCTAGGTTCTTCACGTCGGTTCAGGATATCCCTGTCTTCTCGTTTCCCACTGTCTGACGCATAATCCAGTCCACCACAATTTATGATAGTGAATGGCTGTTCTTACATATATTGATTGCAAAATCAGAAAATATAAGAATACAGTTGCATACGCTTCCAACATAATTCTACTCTGACCAAACTCATAAGTAGGCAATAAGAATACGTCCACACCAGAACTGTTCAAACACATAGAAATCCATCACATAATGCAAAACGCATCAAGAGATGGTGTTTTATATAAAATAATTTGGAAAATAATTAAATCTTTTACGTCTGAGTATAACTATGCATAATGAATACATGAACAGTGCATTGTCGTATAAAAAGTCTTCAAAAATCATGCAGATTAATACTATGGCTTAGAATAACTATACTGCCTAGACCTTAATAAAAGCCTGAAAACATTATGCAATCCGTGAGTACCAGTCGGTGGTTAGGACGCTCATCGACCATGCACATGGTCCGGGGTTCGATCCCGGGCCGACCCACTCCTTTACCTCGCTAAGCGAGAAATAATCCTGGTGAAGAGGAAAGGTTGGACATGAGGCTAGCAACCCCATCATGTAAAAAATAAACACTGTTACAGAAACTTCAAGCCACTAGCTTGAAGCCCTATGTTCCACTGGGAACGTGAAGGGAAAAGAAAGAGTATCAGTAACTGATAAGGGGTCAAAAAATTATTCATAAAAGAAATTGGAAAGAATGAAATAACAAGTATACTGTACAAGCTGCCACTGTAATACACAACAATTCAATGAACATTGAGTAAATACTCAACCTGAACAAAGCAAGAACAACAATTGTACCAGGATAATATGAGCTCATCTCTTATTATTTCGAGGATTCTTCTCAACTGGTTACAACCTCAATGATAAAAAATATGAATTACATTAAAGATTTCAACATACTTTTCCACGATCATAAGGAGTAATTGGTAGGAAGTAGAAGTAACATTAGTCCCGAATGATTTAACTGATTAGGAGTTACAAACACTGACTATTTATAGAATAATTAGACAATTAGGCTTAGAAACAAAAAAACAGGGTTGTGTATATATATGTGTGTGTATAGAAACAATGTTTATCTAGAAAGAGCATAACAAAAAAGTAGATTACGTAACTAAAGAAAACATGTTATCTAATAGACAATAGAAAAAAGGAAAGATAAGAAACAAGGTAGGGTGGTGAGTCATGTTTAGATGAGAGAGTAGGGTTTTCTAAACATGAATAAGGTTCACTCAAGAAAGTTGTATATTTTTTTGTTATCAGCAGGGCAGTGCAAGATTCACCACTGTCTCTTTCTGCGTACATAGATTTGATTTAAGTCGTTTGATGGCAATAGCTTCAGCAAAGCGTATCAAGCTAGGTTTCTTTTACTTGTTGATTATTTTGAACGACTTCAAGTTGTTTACAATATGACCAGTGTTCAATAGATGACGAGCAATCGCACTGTTTAATGCTTGCGCATCTTTCCATCTCAGGTTCTTTGGTATGTGTTCATAGATGCGGACAGCAACCCTTCTCTCTGTTCTTCCAATGTATGTGCTTTGGCACGTACATGTAAATTGGTAGACAGAGTTTGAGGTAACATGAGGTGGGTATTTGTCCACTTTTGATTGTCTCAAACAACTAGTTGTTTGATAAACACATATAAGTTTGGCGGCTGGAAATGTTCTTTTCAGGGTAGCGTTCAGTCTGCATCTTGTTCTACTAGCAGTATCGCCACCTTTGAATGCAAGCTGCAGAAAGATAGGCTTTTTATCTACTGTGCTGCTTTTCATTTTTTCAACATGACGTCACCCATACTTGTCGATGAACTTTTGTGGGTAACCGCTGTCGCTTAGGCATTTCTCCACAACCAACCAACGCGCATTAACAAACATAGTAAAGATTAAGAATTCAATGATTTTCAGACCTAAAAAGAAACTAACTCAAAAAAACAAGCTATGAAGCATGGCACTCAGATAAACCAAAATTAAATATAAACATAGATATGAACACCTCCTAGAAACCATTCAACATATCCACTGAAAAATGTTTTGTTACCAATGATTGGTGTAAAAACAAGAGCTCATATGTATGATTCCTGTGTTCTTTGAATCGAACGAAATGCTTACAGAATAAAAAGCAGAGTTGTAGAAATTACAACCATAATCAGGAACCACTCTCAAATGAAACTTCCCAGTAAAGGGAATAACAACCTTCCTAGTGATTCTAGTGATAAAGAAAGTCACTGTAGGTTCTAAAAAACAGAAACAGACTTAATGGAATCGCCTTGGAATGTCTAATTAGAACAAGAACGATTCAGCAGTACGGAATAACATAAGTATGCCAATCACAGAATAAGAAAGCTCTATGAACAAAACTAAACAATCAGTGGAAGCATAGTTACTACATCGTCAATATTTTAATCAACCTAAGTAAACTTCTAGAATTAATTTTAGTCAGGAAACCACTGAAACCAGGAAGTATTGAACAGTCAGTTCGTAACCAAACTTAAAACCACTCAAATCTCCACATACACCAAACTCGAAAGTTAACTTTATTCTCACTAATAACTGATCGAGGGATGGAAATGACTGGGAGTCATAATTGGGTTCCCACAAGTTGGATGTCAGGGTAAATACGAATGACATTGGCTTATAGAAGTTTGAATTCACCAGCTGTTAGATTCTGCCACGGTGACTAAATGAAAAAGCGACTTGAATGGTAATCTGAGAGTCTTGAGTTCGATCCCTGGTAGGGTTGTGGGTGATTACAGCCGAAGAGTCCCAAAATAAGCAGAACAGTTGTTGAGTACTCTCAAGTTTTCAGTCCTTCTCTTAAGCGTGAAATCCATCAGATCCTGCAAACCAACACACTTGAAACAGATGACACTTTAATACAGGATGCGTTGTTAACACCAACGATAAATAGAAACAAATAGAAACTGTAACTTAACGACACGATAAGGAATGAAAGTGTTTGATTATTTTTGTTAGTGTTGTATTATCCTCGTCTGCTAATAACCTTAGATACTTTTTTTCTTTCTTTGTCATAATTAAGGATATAATTAATACCGCATTGATAAGATATCCCTCAAGTATTTATGAGTTACCGTGTGAATGGAATGTACAACTCACTTCTAATATGAACACAAAATTATGTCAAATTATTTGGTTTGACGAGTATTTCAGTAACCCGACAGAAGGTGTCACTCTATACAAATTTAACCGTCAGTTAAAAATTGCTCATTTTAATCATCCAATCAAAGCAGATATGATTACAATGAGTGAAATTGCCGACGATGATCCATTGCGTAAGTTACTAGGTAAATAGTTGGCTTGTTTAATCTTCCTATCACATTATTAGGGCGAAAACTACAGGCAAACCTAGAATAGATAGTTGCGATGAAGATATCTACTTGATGAGAATAATAGGCATCACACAATTTCAACGGGAAACATTTGAAGAAGGTTACCTGTTTCGTCTATCTAAGCACCATCGTTTCAACTGCAGATGGTACGGATGAGGGTGTCAAAGATAAGATTAGGAAAGCAAGACACAGTCCAAATCTATTGCACTCACCATAATGAATAAGATTCTAGTTTTTAATACTGATGCTACATCAGTTCTTCTACATATTTCACAGACTTGGCACGTGGCAAAAAGCATTTCCAACAGCCTGCTGTAGACTTTCATTAGCACGGACCTATCTCTCTGAATACTGAAGATAAGGGTGCCGGTCAGAAGGAATGTGCAATAAGAAACTCTGGTACACAGCGAAGGAACCGATGAACTATTAGCAAAAAGATATGCAGAAAGAAATGTAGATAGGCTGAATACACACTGTAGGGGCATTCAAGTGAAACCACGCCCCACGTCCTCTAGTGGAACTCAAATGGGAGACGAGAAGTCGACCATGGGTCAGAGAATGATACGGAGGAGGTCGTGTTAGCAGAAGGAAAAGAACAGCTTATGGGCAGTCGTAGAGCCAACTGCTGGATCCCTATTTTATACTCGGAAACCATCAAAATGATAATAATAATCACACTAACAATATGACATAAATTTATAACGAGTAGTTGTCAATGAGAGTCAATATCCCGAAAAACTCTTATCTTGTTTGAATTCTATGTTCAGGAGATATTTGTTGAGATCACTCAAATTTTTTTAATTGAAGTATTTATTGTCTAACATGCTCATTATTTAATCACTTTGCATGTTCTAATATTGTAGGCCTTAAGCTGAAGAGACAATTCGTTAGAATGTACCGTTATTATCAAAATCTTGATGGAGTTTTGGTGAGATCACCTATAAAACCAACAACCTGTTCAACATTCCCTGACTACACTTCGTCTTTTCAAAAGGTAATTTTTTCATCCACTCTTGTCATTTCAAAATGTTTTGACAGTTAGAGAATTGATTCACAAATTTTGAAAGTAAAAGTTATTTTTCTCTAAATTATTCAGTCACATACCAGCCAATAAGTCTAATAGCATGTAGTGTGTTTCCGTTAGCTGAATGCTTCAGTTGAAAAGCTTCCATTGTTGTACCAGGCGACTTTTTCAGTGGATACTTCAGTTTGACTTCATCCAGCTCAGATAATACATCTAAACCAAAATCACCAATCTAAACTACAAATCTTCTCCATTATATCAAAAAGCATATCATGCTTCCGATGAGGTGATTTTGTTTTCCGTATATCTAGTTTATCTATGCCAGTTGACTTTCGCATTCATAAAATGAACCGTAAACGCAAATGAACCCAAATTGTACGAAGCAATAACATCACATTTATTTATTTTATTCTATCCCTTCACGTTCCGAGTTAAACATAGGGCTAAGAACTTGAGTCTTAAAGTTTCAACAAGAGTGGTGTTCATTTTTTACGGGATAACGTAGTTGGCCTTACATCCAACCTCGCCTGTTTACTCGGCCTACTACCAGCTAAGTTAGGTTTACGAGTGAGTCGGCCGAGGATCGAACGCTTGAACAAGTGCGTGGTTGTTGAGGATTCTACTGGTAAATCACTGAAGAAACTAAGAACACATAGACCAAGATAAAATAGATCCATGTTATTTCATCAGTTGGTATCTTGTCAACTCCTCAAAACCTGAACAATAGCACATTATAGGATTATTACAATTTCAAAATACTTTCGTGTATTAAAGGAATAAACATCAAACAATAATTAATATGGATCATGGTATTCAGTAAAGGAGGATTCAGTAAAGCGTTTAGTTACTGTAGTAAAATAAACTGTTGCAAATGTATATCAAATGTGGTGGATAAAAACAGGCCAAAGGCAGTAACAAGATATTACTTAAAGCATTAGGAAATTGATTGGAGGATTTCATCATGGGCTGACATCATTTAGAGGACCGTTGGAAATCCACCAGTGAGTATTGGACAGCTGTTTCGTCCTAGTTTCCGACTCCCCAGAAGTACGCACCCACCAGGGTTCCTACTCAGGACCTTCTGGTTACAAGGTGAGTTCGCATGCCATTCACCCAGTGGGACCTCATTCATTGGCCAGTTCATAAATTCTAACTGCTGCCATTTGATGACATAGCGCGACCACAAGCCAATGTCATCTTCGATGAGTTACTGCCTCACCTTCAACCTGCTGTATCCTACTGGTCACGGCTTCCAATTAAAAAATTACTGATAAACAAAATGAAATATGCCAAAAAATACATTCAGAGTTAAGCTAATTTAGTTAGGTATAGTACATCTGAGGTATATTGTTTAGAATTGATGGTATAACTAAATAAGTACAATACTTATAATCAATTGCAGGTAATATGATCAATTAAGGATCGATAGTCAAGTTGTCAAGGCAGGGAAAGACTAAGATTAATTTTTGAATACCTAAATTCGGTCCTAACAATTCGACAGCAATGGCTTCTGTTAATTTCAGGAAGCCGGATCCCATTTGTTTGTTTATTATCGTGAAGGAGTTCAAGATGTCTACCCGATATTCTCTATCAATAAGACGTCGCCTGATTGTAGTTGAGCGATTAAATGGCTTATTGTGACTTGACACATAAATGAACCATGACCATAATGGTCTGAGATTTCATTTTGAAGATAACTGAACACCCACTGAACTCTTAATCAAAGTAATACTGGCATGATCTTACAATCTGTGCAGAAATGAATTCAGAATTCCATTATGTCGTTTTACAGACCAAGTATGAGTTCTTCCAGTGTTCGATACACATCATCCTGGCAACTGGAGATAATCTACTAACTAGCAGCCTTCTTCGAATGTCTAATATCAAAACCCCCTTAAACTCCGATATTAAATAGCTCAGACTTTCAAATGAACTATTTTCATTTGCTTATTTTATTGTAGTATAATGAAATGAATTCGGAAAAGATTACAATTGAAGGTTGTGAAGAATTTCAAGAGGATATGAACGTGAAGCATAGAATACATCCATACTTTTTGCATCATAATATTTTAAATGTGACAAGTTTGAATAAAGATAATATAACAAATATTGAAAATAGTATCAGCCTTGTTTCTCAACTCACTTTCGATAGGTAAGTTATGTTAGTTAGTCTTGTTACAAATACTATCACTAAGTTTGGGAGGAATGGCGTGAAGTGGAAATGTTTTTTACATTGATTAATGTGCTTTTATAGTGTACCATGACGTTCACAAGTTCGCTGTCACAACTGCATTTATTACCACTGTGGTACTATTAGTGTTGTTTCCGTTTGGTATGTTCTAGACAGGGGTGCTAAACATGTCTGGTATGAATTCCTAGATTATACATTTGCGTTTGACTCCATACCTTAGCCTCTATTATAAAACAAGCTTCCTATGACACAAACAGAGTGTTGTATTAATAAATAGTTCAATCCTTATTTTTATGATAGGAATCAGTACACTGTATATAAGAGAAAATGTCTTCTACTGCCCCACTTACTCTAACTGATGTCCCTGAAGGGGCTGCTTTTCCGCCTTTTCTTTCCTCTTGCATGACTTGTCCCGTTCTGATGAAGCCGATTCTTTCAAGTATCTCGATGATCTGACTCTACACACACCGGTTACTTTCCTGTCAAACTGTTCCGACATGAATAGCCTTCTATCTGAAATCAGCTGGTGGTCCTTGTCTGGTGGTCTTCAGGCAAATCCCTCCAAATGCAAGGTTGCTAATTTCACTTTCAGACACAAACGTGATTCAAATGAGCTAGTTCATTCACACGATTCTCGTACCATAGAGGTTACTGAATTTGAAACCAAGTTTGGTTATGTGCTATATCTGCTCTGAGTGTTTATTTCAATAATACATATCATTAAAGGTGGGATGAAACTTCTTGTGGCTTCTAATCAGAGGATCTGGAATGAAAACTTTCAAATTTAGTTCTTCTTGCTTTGAAAAGACGAGCAATCTGTTTTCTGTTGAAAAATCTTTCTTTCTGGATTCAAACTCGATTCGAGTGGAAAACCTTGGAACAACTCTGTCGTTAGGACCACCTAGTTTTCATAACTGGTCAACAGAACTTTTGATAACACTATGAAGCTAAAATGTCAATTTAGTTTAAATTTTTGTTTCTTTACAATATTAAGAACATCTGTGTAGCCTTATTTCTTGATAAGAGATTACATCATATCTCGCATCACTTAAATTTTACTTTGTACCGTTTAAAATTTCAAATTCGCTCTGAACAAAAGACTACCGTCAAACGAAATAATACCTTGCCTATCGACAGTCGTGCACCTTACAAGATAATCTACTATAAATGTACTTACTAACCGAGAAGTCTAGTTCACCGTCTTCTGTGACTCATACATAATCATTTCAGCTTTCTCCCAATTATTCATAATTGCACAATACATATTACAATCATTCCCGATTTATTCATTTACAGGATACATCGACTTGAAGAGCTTGCAGTCAATTGGTTAGGACCAATAAGTTTGGCGTTATATCTAACTGACAGGGAAGCAGCATTGTTAGTGGAATTTATTACCAATTCTAGAATTTTACAAAATCGTACAAATATTGGTTATCATGTTGTCTATGTGGATGGGGTAAGTGGGACATTTTTTCGAGTAAAATTTATTAAGACAGAGTGATTGGATAGTTCATTGACACAATGCTTACAAGATACTGGGGTGGGAGGTCCACGTTCGATTCCCAGAAGACTCATCCCTGAATCTCGCCTAGCCGATATATACTGACCACATCTACAGCACAGGATACACTTTCTTTTAGTTTTGTACCCATTTATTACAAAACCAATATGGTCTAGTGCTTCCAAAGTAGAGTGAATGGAGTCTATTCTGATGACTGTTTAAAAATGAATTAGTTTTTACCCATGATGCTCCGACTGAAATGGGTTATTCTAGTAGTTTTATAAGGAGATATATGAACATAATGTAGTGTACTGAAAGTAGTAACTATTAAAAGGGAGACATTTGCTCATGAAGCCTAATTTCAATTGAGATGAGATTTGTGGAGTTGTATAGCAAAGGCAGACTAGAAACATAAAAAGAGTTCATAAACCTGCCACAATTTGCTGGCCATTTTCTGACCGACTGTTTTTCATTTTTCAAGTGAAATTTGCACCATTTATAAGTGCACGGCAGCTAGGTACCTGTTGCCGTTGGTGAAAGGTTCGACAAAACCAACAAAAGACTCTGGTTTCTCCGATTTGACTGATAGCGGTCATCAAAACGACAGGAAAAACGCCCTCAAAGTTATTCATAAATAGCTTCAAACATCTTGAAAGGGAATTTAAACTTGTCGTTTACACACAAATGAAGGTAGGGAAATTCATGAAACCAACCTCCGTCTATATTTTGAAAACTAATTTTTCCCATTCTTTCTGTATATGAATTTATCTAAACCAGGTTGTGCGTTTCATGCTGGATTCTGCTGCTGTCCAGCATCGAATAGATGACGCCACGTTAATCTTAAGGCATTGTCAAAGCTTCCGTACTGCATGTCGACGTGTCAACAGGCATAGGACTCTTCTGTCCAATAAAATCTATCAAGGGAAAATCTAAAAACAGTAATCTCAACAAATAATACCTGATATAATTTATAGTCTCTTTACAAATTGTCTAGTTAGGGGAATACACTTGTTAACTATTCTTCATACCGTCTATGCACACCTCTAGAAGAAGGAGAATTTAAGCCATCATAGGTTTATTTTTAGACGTTGAATTATTTGTCAATTGTTTATTTGATCGATATGTTCTCAATTTTTCCTTCTCTTTTTCTGCACTGCAGAAATTTTATCCTATAAACACATTACGTAATATCGCAATAAAATACTGTACAACAGAATTTATTTTTCATATTGATATTGATTTCTTACCGCAAGCCAACATGATGCAGTACATTGGGAATTCTATTCAACAGCATTTAATTCAGGTGAGTACAAAGGTGATGTATGAATGCGAAATGTTTGGCTGTTATTTCCATATGAAATTTATTTGCATTTGTATTATTAAGTAGTAACTGTCTCATTTATAAATCATCTTTACTATATAACTGATATTAAGATGTCTGTGATCCATGTACTGATAATATGAAGTTGGTGAAATACATTATTAACTTAGAATGTGCACATCAGGTTGTATATGTTCGGTGTGTTGCTTATTGAAAAACATGAACATTATTCCTGTTGTAGATCTGTAGCCATAGTGATTTTCCATTTAATGTTAGTAAAAAGTTTGTGCATGGTGGAATAGATCAAATTACTGGCTGTAATCACACCAGTAATTTCGCTCTAAATATTAGCAAAACAAAAAAATTATTGTTGTGTATAAACCACTCACCAATATCACCTATAAAATAAATCGTAACAACTGCGAAAAACACTACATTGGCCAAAGTGGATGTCCCCTTCGTCTTCGTATCCACGAACATAAGCTAGCCGTCAAAACACATGATATCCACTCCCTCATATCATTACATACAGACAACTACTGACATTAATTCCACTGGGACAACGTTCAAATATTAAACACAAGAAACAACAAGAATGCTAGAGAATTTTTAGAAGCTTGGTATTCCAGTGAATCCTCAATCAATAGACACATAGAGATAGACCAAATTTATCAACTGATAAGAGAGAAACCTAACACACACAAAGGGTCAAAGTCAATCAGTTCCAATATAAGTAACCTAAAAGGTGTGAAAACACGCAAAAACAACTCGTGGAGCAATCTGAAATCTCACTTCAATGAATTGAAGTATGAGCTGAAGATTTCACCTAGTAGGGTGATGAAAGCTCCGCAAATTAACCATCCAGCTCAGAGAACAAAACCACATCAAAATCATCCGCCTGAGCTACAAATCTTCTCTGTCATATATAAACCACTCAAATATAATTTTAATTCAAGTGTTGGTTTGTAGGGATTTGATTGGTTATAGGATTTCATCATGAGCTGACATTAGTTAGAGAACCATTGGAAAACCTGGGAGTACTGGACAGCTGTTTCGTCCTAATTTGGAACTTTTCATCAGTACGCACCCACCACCAGAGTTCGAACCCAGGACCTTCTGGTATACCAGTGTCCCATGAATTCTAACTTCTGCCAATTCACGACATAGCGTAACCCCTAACCAATGTCTTCGGTGAGTATTTTTTTCTTCATACCCGACCAGCTGCAGCCTACTGGTCACGACTTCTCACTAGAACCCCAGGTAACTACCTACTTGAATAGGGCAAGTCACTAGTGAGCATCTCTAATTTTAATTAATTTTACAATTAGTTGTTCTAAAAGTACCTGTATAAAGAATTTCCAAATCTTACCAAAGACTGTAATTATGACATCAATTAAAACGAGTCCAAGAAGCAAATAAATTGGTAGCAGTTTAAACTCATGAGTCATTGAATTCAGACCTAAGTGGCTGAATGGTCAACTGGTTAACCTTTTAACCTGAAGATTCTGTATTAGATCCCTGGTAGGGTCGTCGCTGTGCACTACTGAAGAGTCCCGCATGAGGGCAAAAGGAAATGATCCAGTCACTATTTCTGTCTTCGCCTGCTGTGGAAGTTATAAATGCATACATGCTGTATTATCCCACAGACATACTTTGAACTGTGATCTGCTGATCTTAATAATCAGATGCTTAAAAAAAATATTAATGTTGTCAATAACAATTATACTTTAAGGATAACCGTAGAACCTGATGAAGAAGTCATCAAAATGAATATTTAAGTGTTGGTTTGTAGGGATTTGATTGGTTATAGGATTTCTGTTATGAACTGGTCGAGAATTTAATAGTCCTGACGCAAGAAAGACGGAAATCAGAAGACCACTAGGTTTGCGATGATACTTCTATTTTCCAAACACAAGGAGAATCAAAATGTCATACAAGTGTGAGAGAGAAATTTAGTGTGTATGTCCGAACAAGTGTGTGAGCGAATATTCAAAATGAACAAATCAATAGACAGTCTTAACATGATTGGCTAATTATAATGGAATATTGATCCATATATACCTAGCAAATATAACAGATTGTCAAACGAAACACACATATTATATGGGTACATATCAATTTCATCATGAGCTGACATTAGTTAGAGAACCATTGGAAAACCTGGGAGTACTGGACAGCTGTTTCGTCCTAGTTTGTGACTCTTCAGCAGTACGCACCCACCGGGTTTCGAACCCAGGACCTTCCGGTTACAAGGCGAGCTCGTATACCATTAGGCCACTGGGACCCGATCCGGTGGTCCTTGAATTCTAACTTCTGCCAATTCACGACATAGCGCGACCGCTAGCCAATGTCTTCGGTCCGTATTTGTCCTCACGCCCAACCCGCTGCACCCTACTGGTCACGTCTTCTTACTGGAACCCAGGTAACTACCTACCTGAATAGGCCCGGTGGGTGCGTACTGCTAAAGAGCCACAAACTAGGACGGAATAGCTGTCCAGTACTCCCAGGTTTTCCAATGGTTCTCTAACTAATGTCAGCTCATGATGAAATCCTGAAAAAGAATATTCTTAGGTGATTTATCAGTCGTTTAGAATGGTATTCTTTCACCTTGGAAATGTACACGGATCCTAACACCACTACATAATTTTAATTCAAACATAAGTTAGATTACGGTGGAACTCAAGTTTGATGGTTTTCATTACAATTGACCATTCACAAACTTATTAATGCTGATTGTTTACTATAGTAATTACCATTTCCCAGAAAAATTAATTTCACATACCCTTAATTCCTAATTTAATGTTTGTCTTTTTTAGGATAATAAATCAAAAAATGTTTGTTTAGTGGTGCCTGCATTTGAAACTTTTAAAAATCATTTATCATTACCAGAAACAAAGGAGACTTTGATAAAGTCATGGGAACTTGGTGAAATTTTACCATTTAGGCATGAAATATGGTCAGCTGGTCATATGTCAACTAATTATTCTCATTGGAAGTCAACGGATAATGATTATGAAGTGAGTGAGTGAGAAAATGACTAGTGCTTATAATAATGAAATAACTACAGTTTTTGTTCATTTTATGATGGCGGCTATTTATATCTTAGAATTTATATAAACTGTTGTTTTTCGTCAGTATCCTTTTTTTCAACTTATCAGTAGTCGAAAGCAGCTGCGTGAAGATAAATCCATATGGATCTATCAAACGTGCCTAGTATTATGCCCGAAAGCTGCGAATCCGAGTCCTAAATCAAGAGCCGATTTTTCCGCATACTACAATTCATAAGTATAGAGATATGAATGATAGTATTATTATTATCACTTCCTTTAATTCTTAGAGGAACATAGGACTTCAGCTGCGCGTCCCCATTGCGTCAGGTTCTCTGCCAACGTTTTCACCTGGCTCCAAGTCTGCCCACATGCTTTCATCCCCTCTTCACATGACCTCCTCCAAGTCACCCTTGCACTGACGACCAACTCGCCGCTTCCCTTTCAGGGTCCACTCGAGGGCTTGTCTAGTGATGTCACTTGATGGTTTGTTTTCTCAGAGTATGGCCAATCCATCTCCATTTCTTCCTGCCTATTTGTTGCACAATCGGTTCCTGGTTGGTTCGCTCATTGCCAGAGATCCCTGTTGCTGATCTTTTCTGGCTGGCCATCTGATCTTGAGTATTGAGCGAAGATAACTGTTAATGAAGGTCTGAAGTTTTTTGGAGATGCTCTTTATGACGCGTCAAGTCTCTGATCAGTACAGTAAGCAGCACCGACTTCATATTGGAGTTGAAAGACCGGATCTTATTTCTCATGCCGGCTGCTGTTGATTTCCTCACAGACTTGAGAGTGGTGGAAGCTTGCCTTGCCTTCCCGATCCTCGCTTTCATATCCTCGTGACTTCCTTGCGCCAGTAGGTGAAGCTATGCTTCCCAGGTAGGTAGTTAAAGTAGGTTGCTTCTTTCAGATTTCTCCCATTTATTCTGATTGTTGTCTGTTGTAGTTGCTGTTGCTTTTGGCTAGGAATCTTCATCACCTCTGTCTTCTCTATGTTCACCTGAAGTGCTATCTCTGATGCTTCTTCTGCCAATTTGTTGCTTTTCACTTGCATATCTTCCAGTTTGTGGGAAATCAGACATATATCATCGGCGAAGTCCAGATCCTCCAAGTCTTTTGTGTGAGTCCATTTTATGCCTGTTTCCTCAAAACCCGTTGTCTGTCGCATTACCCAGTTTACCGCAATCAAGAAAATCATTGGCGATAATAGACAGCCTTGCCTCACTCCCGTCCTCGCTTCGAAGGCTTCCGTAAGTTTCCCGTTGTGGATTACTTGGCATGCAGCATTGTCGTATAACTGTTGGATGAGATGTGTAATTGTCGATGGGACCCTGTAGTAGCGAAGCAGTTGCCAAATCACCTCTCGACTGACGCTGTCGAAGGCCTAATCAAAGTCGATGAAGTTGAGGGAGGTAGAGAGGTGAGTGCCATTCCAAGCTTTGCTCAATGATGATTCGTAGTGTGGCGATTTGACCAATACATGATTTGTTTCTCCTGAATCCGGCCTGTTCCGGTCGAAGTTTTTCATCCAGGTTGGTGTGTTTGATTCCCTCCAAGATGAAGCGGCTTAGTATTTTGCTTGGAATGGACAACAACATAATTCCGCGCCAGTTTTTGCATTGACTTAAGTCTCCTTTCTTTGGTAGTTTGAATAAGTATCCTTTCTTCAAATCCTCGGGTACTTTGCCCTCTTTCCACACCTTCTCCAGCAGTGGCGTCATCAGCTCCGCTGTTGTCTGTGGGTCCATTTTCAATGCTTCTGCTAAGATTCCATCTGGTATGCAGCACATTTAAATACTGTATATCCCGTCCTTTAATATGACTGCAAAAATTGTGACCTGAATTTCCTTTCATGAATCAGATGAATCTGGTTGATTGTGATGAAGGCATTACTGATGAGTAATACATTTAGACTAAAAGCAATCTCCATCCAACGATAATGACCAAGTAAAAACTTACACATTGCCCTTGAAATGCATTTTCATGAATTCCCTGTCTTAAGATTCTCACTGATTCCCTTTCATTTTCACGCGGATGAAGGTGACTGCAAGTAATCCTTTTGCAAGGAGTCTCTAAAATACTTCAAACATGATGCATTACTGAACCAAAAGTGTTCTCTCTCTTTCAGCTCCTTAATGTAACCACAAGGAACAGATGCCAAGGTGCTGTTGGTGCCTTTAGTAATTACTGTCTGATAACTGCTAACATTGTTATCGTAAAAGTAAAGGTTATATACAATGGTTTCGTAGAATTCTGTGTTAACAGACACTGAAGTGTTGAAAACAGAGTTCAGATTGTGTCCTGTTCCTCAAAAGTCATCTTTTAAGTACTTCCACTATTACCAAACGATGACGTTCAGAATAAACAGAGGTAATCTGAGGGGAGTGTAGGGTTACAGTCCTAGTATGTATTATCCTTTTGTGACGTCATACTTAAGGAGGAAATTCCCCATCCATCAATCAAGTTGCATTTTTTATCTGGGAAACGTAGTTGCTCGAGCAGGAACGAATCAAATATTCCTAGTGAATTTATTCACAAATGCATGAGGACCCACAGAAAAAAATAAGATAAACAGTGGAAATGACAAAAATAATATAGACTTCTCCGTAAATCTAGTACTGCCGTATAAAGATCCAACACAGGATTCTTTGTTGGCTTAAGGACTCCAGAGATTCAGTTAAGAATACCGTGTAATGACTGTCAGGTCAATTACATAGGTCACACTGGTAGATTGAGGTCAGTTATATTATTGGAAAATATAAATTTAGTTAGATCTAGAATAATGATTGACCCTGCTAAGTTAAAAAACCAAAAAAAAAGCTCAGCCATTGCACTACATTCATTTCCATACTATCACAAAATAGGTTCGGTAGGATAGGGTGGGAGTATCAGAAAGTGATATTGGTTGGAGGACTTCATCATGAGCTGACTTCAGTTAGAGGACCATCGGAAAACCAGATGGGAGTATTGGATACCTGTTTCGTCCCAGTTTGGAACTCTTCACAGTACACAACCACCACCAGAGTTCAAAGCCAGGACCTACTGGTTACAAGGCGAGCCTGTAGACTACTAAACCACTGGGCCCCAATCAATGGCCCATGAATTCTACTTCTACCAATTTACGACATAGCGCGACCGCTAGCCAATGTCTTCGGTGTATATTTGTCCTCAAACCTGACCTGCTGCACCCTACTTGTTACGGCTTCCTCCCATAACTGCTTGAAAAGGGCCAATCGGAAATACAGAATGACGCAGGGTGGTGAAAGTTTTCGGAAGCCAGTCAGCCACTGTGTCTTCTCTTGATGAAATCAAATGTAGGAGAGGGGATGTTGGGACTTCAGTCAAGTTCTACTAGTTAGAGGAGTTCAGTGATTCCATATCCTTATGCGTGATTCTGACAGTTATCTGATGAGGTTGAGTTGACAGAAGAATGTACACAAAAGAAATATATCTTTCTTATTTTTAAGATGGTTAACTACTATGGCATAACTAGAATTGAATATTAAGAGGAATAAATGTAACAGTTTGTCTGATTTAATATTGAATAAAACACATTTTCTAACCCTTTTTCTTTTTTCCTTATTATAAGGTGCAATGGTCAGCTGATTATGAACCATATGTGATTGTTTCACGAAATGCAACAAAATTTGATGAAAATTTCATTGGATTCGGTTGGAATAAAGCTTCTTATATTATGGCATTAGATGCACTGGGTTATAAATTCATTGTTTTAGCCAGTTCATTTCTTATACACCTACCTCATCCACCTAGTTTTGAAGTATTTCGATATCGAATGAACTCAGCGTATAGGTAAGTCAACTTCCACTTTATATAAGTAAGTAGATATAACTGATTAAAAGCATCTTAATAACGGTAGTTTATTCATCAAAGTAATCTACAACTGTGGGTTGATAGTTTGATTGTTGAATACTTGTCAGACACACAGATGGCTTAAACTCCATTCCTGGAAGATGCACCCCCTAAATTAAGCCTAGTTTAAGCATGAAGATGGCAACCCCATGACGGATACTGAAACTTCGAAGCTTAAGGCTTGAAGCCTAATGTTCACATCTAGTCAATTCATAGCGATGACTGTTATGTCCTTTCTGATTTTTCCCCAAAAATTGTAAAATGAGTTCGTCAGAAATGGTATTCATTTAGTGCGGTAGATGGAGTTTAAAAGCCTTTTAAAGTCTATGAAATATCCAGGTAAAATCAATTGGATATTCAGCTGGCTGGACTGCTGATAACTGCACAAGTACAACCGTCTGCAGAATGGCAAAGTATACTAACAAAGTGTTCCACCTTGACAGGAATAATCTTAAGATAAAGCATTATGTACTAAGCCACTTGGGCCACGACAGCCACCTCTTGTTCATCGGGTCCCACTTATTATTTCTTTTTATTTAATTTTATATTTGTTGTTGATTGATTACAATGGATCGAAATCACTGATCTCTGCTGATGTGTTGGCTGGTAGTGGGGACGTTTCATCAGCATCTAAGGATTGCCATGTCGCTAAACACTAAATGATCGGAAAAACAAACAGGCATTTTGATAGGGAAAGAAAGACCAGATTTGCAGTATAAAATGATATCATCATTCTATTTCACAGGTTCTCATCAGCTGCAAACTACCTGAAATTACAATGGTTATAAATAATAACATTTCATACTTCATTGTTTGAAATGTAATAGAGAAAACATTATAAGGTGAACGCATCTGGAATATAAGTATTATAATCTAAATCACCATCAATTTTTTTCTTTCATAGTTTGATAGTATATAAATTGATGGTGACTTAGATTATAACACTTATATTCCAGATGCGTTCACCTTATAATGTTTTCTCTATTACCTTTCAAACAATGAAGTATGAAATGTTATTATTTATAACCATTGTAATTTCAGGTAGTTTGCAGCTGATGAGAACCTGTGAAATAGAATGATATCATTTAAAGCAATTGGTTCCCTTTATGAATTTCGACAAAACAATAAGAAGACGTAGTTTATCTGAAACGTATAATGTATTGGCGCAACACATTTCGGACATTCTGATCACACACGTACTTGTCATACACAGTTTTTATATAAGGCAAGAAAGCATGAATAATTACAATACAGGTCAGATTGTGTACGGGTCAAGGTCACAAAATAATGGGTAGGGAGACGCAAAAAGTGTGGGTAAGAAAGATAAAGGGAGGAAAAAAAGGCAAAGAAAGGGTTTGAAAATATTATGAATGGCATCATTTTATACTGCAAATCTGGTCTTTCTTTCTCTATCAAAATTTATCAAGGGAACCAAATGTATGAAATTTTTAAAAAAACAGGCATTTATTACTCTTAAGTGAGTGTGGAAATCTGCTGCAGCCAGCATCAAGAAAAACCTTCAGATCTTCAACACAAGTGTCATGTTAGCCAGTGCTCCCATAAGATTTAGAAACCTGACATGCGCGTCACGAAAAGCTTTTCAAGAGGCATGATGCAGAACTTTGTCGACAGCTATTTTCGTTCTATACTTAAGATCGGTTGTCATGAAAAGATTATGCACAGGGAGATCTGGGAATGAACCAATTAGGAACTCATAGCCCAACAGGTATGTGTGATGAAACAGGGATGGATCAGACACAGGCTGAAAAGGTTGGTGAATGAAATCTCATGCCAGGCCCTCGAATAGAACTCGAATTGAAAACAGCTAGTTCGGTATCTGACGGTGACATGGCGATTGGATGAGGATGAGGTGAGAGTTTATGAGCAATCGTGGAGGCATCCATAGAAGAATTCAGAGAACAGGATGAAATAAAGATGTGTCGCTGAATCCCTACATTCCACTTGGAACTCAAGACACCAAACAGTCATTTCGCCGCATGGTTTATTTTCTTCGCGATACTCAGTTTTAGTTTCACAGTTTATCTTTAAAAGTATTGAATTGTAAATAATGTTATGCCAGTGTCTGAATGGTCTAGTTGACAACACTGTGGATTTTGAAACGATAGGTGTTAGCTTGCAGTCTTAATGGGGACATCACCACTGAATGAGAACTAGATACATTTGGAAGTAGCGCGTCCTGAATTTCAGCGCTAGCAACAACTGAACAAGCAACTTTTAACTATGAGTTAGGTAAATGTGTGTGATTTATGATTACTCCCGACCCAATTTTATCTATTTTAATTTTCACACATCGGATTTCCGTTTTTTGTAATTTTAAATATTTTAAGAAATGTATTCACCGACATTGATGTGATTTAGAAATATAAAACTGCTAATTATGCCTTATTTTCTCATATTTTAGATCATGTATAGATAATTTGAAGCTGGATTTTATAAAGCGTTTAGCAAAGAAGCATGGTGTACAAGCTTTGAAATATCTACAATTTCGTAAAGATTAACAAAGAGGTCAAACATTAATAAAATGCAGCTAGGTAAACACCAGTTTATTTACAACACAGAAAGGAACACTTCACTCTACCATGGATAACATAAATCCCCCGGTTAAATAACAACTGAAAAGAAACAGAGGGAACATGAGTTGTTGCATTCAAGCCATTTTGAAATGATAGTCGAAATTTTCTTTTTTTTTTATAGAACGACGGATCGTTCATTGAAGGCCAAATAAAAATTACTCTTTACTCCTACGGAAGCATCCAGGAAGCTTCGTCGGACAGCTTCATTGTACATAGAGTTGTGTTAAGATTAAAATGATATTGTTAACAAACAGATTATAAACCTAGTCAAGCTCCCCTTTTTAAATGGCACTTGGTACTTTACACTCATTTCATTTATGAAGAATATATGATCAGATCCTTTTCTTGTAAAGTGCTATCTATTGTACAGAATATCAGAGTGCCAAAAAATTATAATAATAAATAAAAGAATTACTCAATGAGAAATAAAGGTGCAATATTTTTTCTTTCCAAATAAGTTTGGTATCTAAATGGAAAAATAATTATCTTTCATAGCTTCTTTCAGTTCTAATTTTAAGAGCTTCGACTTGGAAAGTACTTTAAGGACAAAATATTTTGTCGTTGGAAGGCTGAACACCTGAGATTAGAAGAATTATAAAAAACATTGACGGTTGAATGGATTAGTTAGTTACCTGACTCCTGGCTGAGAACCACAGAATGTGTATGGTTTAATTATACCATCTAATTGCATAGGTTGAAGCTATATTTGATCCCAAAACCTGTTGGCTAAAATTCTGGTGCATAGGCTATTTAGTCTGAGTTTCACGATAATTGAATTGCAGTAACTACGCTTGATACCTGTGTATCGAATGCCAATAAGGACGATTATTCAGAGGAAAATAATGTGTACTTTACTTAGCGTATTATTTAATCCAGGATACCAGCAGTTTTGCAGTTGCAAATCATCATAGTGAAAAATTTTAAGGTGCTGGCTGTTTTTGCATTCTGTCTCCCTTTTTAGCTGTTATAATAAGGTGAGCGATAATTGAGTTAGGTGTAGAGTGTTTGGTAAGGAGGGGAAGTTGTTGTGGAGGTTGTGGAGCTACACTGATCCAGATGGTGTGGTTATATGTTACTCATGCCAATCGATTACTCCTCTCTTCTAGTAAGTTTAGTCGAAATATGATTAGATTGCAAAAGAGTGACCAGTGGAAAAGTCAAAATCTGGCATCAATCTGTGAAGACTTTGACATTTGGTTTGAACTATTTAGGGTGGCATAGGCTGCCTCGCTTTGTTCTCTAGAAGGCTAAGAATTAATAGCTTAAGATAGTTGGTTGATATGTCTCAAAATCGTTGTGGAAAATGCAAATGAACTGATTCTTTATGAGCTCTCAGTTCCACTTAATCCCTATTATTCTCCATGCAGTTTATTCTTTATCCCATACCTCTTAGTTTATTAAAGTTATTTTTCGTTTCCTCTTCTCTCTCTAACTTGTACGAAATATGTAGAATACAATTGCCTGAAATTCCATATTGAAAATTATATTCAATTCAGATGTGATAATTCAGAATTTTTATTCCTTCACGCTCCCAAAGGAACATAGAGCTTCAAGCTAGAGGCCTGAAGTCTCTGTAGCAGTGGGGATTATTTTTACGGAATTGGGTTGCTAGCCTCATGCCCAACCTTCCCTCTCTACCACTCTTACTACTGGCTTAGAGAGGTAAGGGAGTGCGTCAGTTGGGAATCGAACCCCGGAGCACTTGCGTGGTCGGCAAGCACTCCACCGATGTGCCACCGATGCATAGATAATTCTGGCTACTAAATATTTTTATGATGGCAACATTTATTCCCTGATATTGATTTGAAACAAGCAACAAAAGTTAGTTGAAGGAGGATTTAGTGAATTCGTCTAATTTCGGTAGAACTCTTCATCTGGATACTTTATATATAGGGATATCAGATTAAAGTAAATGCATTGCGGTTCAATCATGTCACTTAAGTAAAGAATTAGTTATCAATGATTAAAACAACTTGAATGCATCAAAAATTTCGAACTAAATAACATAGACAGTAATAGTATTCCTATTATTAGTAACAAGAATAACACTCAGTAATGATGATGGTGTTAAAATGAGTTAACATAATGGTAATGATCAAAGATAGTAATAATAAGAGGTAGAATAAAATGTTAATAGTAATGGTAACAGTTAATGAACAAAACATATTACCATGCTAGATTCAAAGTGACGACCATCTTCTTTTGTACAGAGAGACCTGGTTTATAAACTCGAATTGCACAAGCCTCTGCAAGAATCTTTCTGTTTATTTGTCTACTGAAAACACCGAATGACTTTACAGTGTTAATATCATGTTCGTAGTCCACAAGATGCTTTGTTATTGAACTTTTAGGCACTTTCACTTCAATCGTTTCTACCACCTTGAAAAATACTCTATCATGCGAGTAGACAATCGCCCTTCTTTACGACTTATGTATTTGCTTCGACAAACACACTTAAATTGATATACACAGTTTGAAGTGTCGAGGATTGGCGACTGGTCTTTCCCAAATTGTTGAAGCACTCGCTCATGGTGTTAAGGAAAGCAAGTTTTGCAGCATAATAAGTTCCACTGATAACTTTATCGAGTCTTCGTTTGACTACTTCTTGTACAACATCTCCTTTGAATGGCAAACTGATGTAGACAGATTTCTTCGGAACTGTATGGATAGTTTTTTAAGGGCTAATTTCGTTAGAGTATTTACTAATGAACTTCTCAGGAAATCCATTCTTAGATAAAGTATCATTCAGAGTCTTTATTTCATGTTCAATTGTTATGTCAAAACAATTTTTTCTGATCTTTTAAACGATGTTCTGATTAAATTCTTTTTATATTCGATTGGAACAAAACTTTTAAAGTGCATGTACTTTCCCGTCCATGAAGACCTTCTAAATATAGACCTTTCGATTATGCCATCAGTCATTTTCGTCAGAGAAACACGTAGGAATTTAAGGGCATCATTTGCCTCGTGCTCTGTTGTGAAGTTAAGATTCGGATGGCGTGAGTTGGACTTTGTCGGTAGATCTCCAGCTCTTGGTTCGCTTTCACATACAATAAAAATGTGATTAAAATATCTTAGATATAGTTGTATTTAACTGTAAACACTGTTACAAAATATCGACTTGTAGACCTGAAAAGAATAAATTCGCAAAACGTGGTCCTACGGGGATTCCCATTGCAACATCATCAACCTACCTTTATGATTACTTTCAAACTACTGTGATTTAAGTCGATTTACAGCCGGTTATTCCCGACAAGTACATCTTGTCTAACGTACCGTAATCCAGCGCAATGTTCTGGATAATACTGACTTGAGTACCATAGGGTGGTTTCATTGTGAACTACTGTCAGTAATCTAACACTGAGAATATTCGACTTCTAAGTGAGTCAGAAGCCAACAATCGGAAATCATTTTAAAACTGATAAAAGCTATTTGAGGCAAAAATATGAGTCTATCCTATGTTTCTTTCTGTTATGCTAATGTCAACGATATGTGATAGACTGAAATAATACACCTCAGAATATAATCTCAGCGTAAGTTAATGCGTCTGCAAGCAGATGTGGCGCATCAAAACCCAGTTTCCGCCTGTTTATTGTCATTCATCATAACAATGAACTAATCTGATTCGAATGTTGTACAAAGACAGTCTAACTCAACCATTGATTATTTTGACTTTTCTCACTCTTTTGCATTCTGAGTAGAAAATAGGACCTTGAGCTTTAAATTTCCTATAGAAGTGGTACTTTTGCTTTTATGGGACGGGACTGATTGTCTTATGATCGACCTTCCTTCTTGTCCAGGCTGACTTCCGAGCAGTAGAATAAACAAGATGTAAGACTGAGTCAGTGCATTGGTGGCACAGAGGTTAGGATGCTCGCCGACCATGCACATGGTCCGGGTTTCAATTCCCGGCCGACCCACTCCTTTACCCCGCTAAGCCAGATATAATGCTGGTAAAGAGGAAAGGTTGGATATGAGGCTGGCAACCCCATCCCGTAAAATTAAACACTGCTACATAAACTTCAAGCCACTAGCTTGAAGCCCTATGTTCCACTGGGAACGTGAAGGAAAAGAAAAAGACTGAGTCAACGGGGAATCGAACTCGCACCACCTGTGTGCCTGACAGGCACTGGTCTATTGGATCAGCAATGCCGTAAGCATTTCATTCTGGGAAATGTTTACTCTCAAGTGCTAGTTTGCAGGTTTGATCATTAGCTGACATCAGTTAGAGAACCATTGGAATACTAGGGAGTACTGGAACTCTTCAACAGAGTGCACCGAGAGGAGTTTCAACCCAGGACTTTCAGGTTACAATCCAATCTCTGGACCATTCAGCCACTTGAACCCAACCCATTGACGCATGAATTCCAACGTCTATCAACTCGCGATATATAGCGTAACCTCCGGTCAACGTCACTGACAAGTAACCATCCTCTTACCTGACTTTCCCTTTCTATATATTAAGCTGAAGTCAACTAAACATTCAGTGCTAAGTTTGCATAACTGCCATTGCTAAAGATGACAGCAACGAAGAAATATAGTAGACGTAGAGTAGCCACCTTTTTTATAAAAAGAAAATTAACGTAATTAATTTTATGCATCCTGTAATTTTTAAAAGTGTCCCTCTTTCTTTAGATACAACATGTTCCTTATCTTTTAGTATTCCCAAGGGTCATGCATAAATTATCAGGGAATACAACAATTTAATAAGGACACTGTTACCAAGTCAAAATATTTGTTCCTAATTACTTATAACTGAAAGTGGATAATAAATTAAATTGTTCTCCCACTAAATTACATACTGTAGTCTCAAAATCTTGGTTTCTGTAGCCTCAACTGCTAGAAATGTTGATTCATGAAAACTGAAATTTAGCTACTTATCATAGAAACATGGAGTATCAGAATATCTTTGTCAGAGGTCGACCAATTTCCTGCAGGTGATTTTATGTGCGTGTGATGAGCTACTAGGTTATTGTTATGTAAGAAAAATATAAAACACTCTATAAGGGATAAATTTACACCAGTTTCAGTCTTCTTTAGGAATTCTACCAGTAAAAAGCTTCAACTCACTCCAGTTTGTCTGGTGGAATCCAAATATAAAGCAACAAGTTAAGCGTCCGAGTGTGACATGAAGGGGAATAGGTGAAGAAGAAATTAAAAATCTCGTGGGTAATCGTGGGTGTCCAGGTAAAAGAGACGATACTGAACCGAAAAATAAAATAAAAATGCACTGCTGAAGCCCCAAGTTCCACTTCGAAACCAATCAGTAGACGAATAATAATAAAATTATTTGCCATCCGTCCTCATAGCATCCGAAATCATGACATACGCTGGGCGACATATATAGGACTCATTACAAGTGCCAGCTGCAAATGAAAAGAATTATCACCTTCTTGGTTTTAATAAAAATGATGT